TTCTTGAAAACTGGAAATTAGTCCCATGGTTAAAGTGATTGGAAGGTTAGGAGGTTAGGGCCTTCATTATCTTCCATAGTCTAGAGAAGGGCTTTGGTTAGATCATCACCTGCTTCTCTCCTTAGCTGAAGGATCACTAAAGGGATAGGGAACTTTGGTTTGGCCACAAGAGTCATAATTTTGGAATGTGGAGCTTGTCAGGAACAGGTTTCTGGCAGGACTGTTATGTGATCCAGAGGGAAATGAAGGAACTGGCCAGTCAAGAGCAGGAAGAACCAGGAAAGGAGGAACAAAATATCTTCTACTTGGCAAATTTTCCACGTCTTACCTGGACAGAGAAACAGTGTGATGAGTGTCTAGAGACTTGTTCCACCCCCAGCTTTGCCTCTTGTACGTGTATCAGTTTACCCCACCTTCCTGACCCTTGATTGCTTTTCAGTCTGCTCATGTATGTGAAAAGAATACATCTGTGCGTGTTAAGAAAACAAGCCTTTATAAAACAGTAAATACAGGTTTAATCAATGGATGCAAAAACAGGGGGCACCTGGCGTGCACCTTGTTAACATCAGGTAATAACTGTGAGGATCATTGGGTGTAAAAGTGGGGTTAACAAGTGATGTTGAGTTTCCTCTTTCCTCCATCTGTCTCTTCATTTTTCTCCAGTGTCTATGCGTTATTTTATTGAAAACTAAAATCTGTCAAAGGACAGGCTCAGAAGAGAGCCTGGAACAGAACCATAAAATCTTCAGCTGACAGGTGTAACGCTTGTGTTTAGAGAAGAAGTTCTCAAAGCCTTGGAAAGAGATGCTACCCACGAGCACCTGCAGGTGCACCTGCCCTTCCCCTGCTTGCTGTCAAGGCCTGCTCTGGGTAATTCGCACACCCTAACGCGGTTTCTCTTGAGTCGCTCGTTTGAAATCCTGTTTAGCCATCCCCAGCCTCTGGCACCACTGCTCTAACTCTGATTCAGACTCTTCTTTGCCACTCTTCTGTCCTCCTCTCTGAGTTGCTGTTGGCCTCCTCCTTGCAGCCACGTCCTGCAAGGCAGGTCTGATTGGTTACTGCCTGCTCAACTCCCTTCCGCAGGTTGCCACAGCTCTAGGAATGAAATCCCTCACCTGCTTCTCTGCTCCGCATCACCTGGGGCCGCTTGTCCCTCCTTGCGCTCCTGGCCTTTCTTCCTGCACCTCCACACTCTTCCCACACATCTGGCTTGGTCCTACTCCCTCCTCCCTGAGGTCCTCACTGGAAGGTCCAGGATTCCTCTAGCGTACACCCAAGAGCTGGGGCTCCAGGACTCCCTGGGCACCAGGCATGTTCTGGGACACATTCAGGTCTGTTTCTCAGAGCCGCTTGAGGGTACGGGCCTCATGTTTTTCAGATGTGCTAAGAATGTGGTAGAAACTTAACATCTGTCATATGAATGAGTAGTTATTTCATGTTCTAAAATTTATCAATTATGAAAGTCAATACTTGGGTGAGAATCAAATAACCTGAGAAGATATTAAGATAGAAGTTAATCTTGGAACTTCTTCTCTGTTGACTTGTAAGCTTTACTCTTCTCAGGAGCTCTAGTGCGGGGACATCCCGGCATTTCTAGGTCTGGGAAGGCCATACTGCTGTCTCTCCAGGTGTGCTCCACAGAGGAAGCAGAAGAGGAGCAGGGCCTCTGAGCCACTCAAACCACTTCCTTTCTGAGAGATCTTAGGAATGTCGCTTCTGTGTGCCTCAATTTCTTCATCTAGTAAAAGATACCTATAAGACTTCCCTCCCAGGGAAGATGTACTAAGGCACCTGAATGTAGTCTTTTCATTTGAGAAACTTTGAATACCTGCTGTATGTCCAGCACATTTTAGTAGGGGGTGGGGGGAAATGTACCCTTGATGGGAAGAAAGACAAGAAGCATAAAGGGGAGATAAGAGCCAGGAAGAAATACGGTAGGGTAAGAAGGACCGCCATGGGAAGAGGGGCCCAGGAACAGTCCCCTGTGGACGTGCTGATCAGTGAGCCCTGAAGGGAGGGAGGCGGGAGTTGAGGGCACGCGGGCTGGCTTGGACAGCAGGAAACGCCAGGCCCTCCACCATGGTAGGAGCTGAAGTCAGTCGAAGGGGCCTCTTGTGGCACCTGGAAGTCAGGGTACAGATGGGTTTTCATTCAGAGTGGGACAAGAATGCTCAACAGCAAAGGACTCCATGCACTGAACTGTCCATGAGTTTTTTTTTCTTTTTTTTTTTTCTGCCTGTACTTAAACAATATGAAAGTATTTCCTAAACCATCCCACCCTGATGTAGCCCAGAGCAAGTCATTTAGTTTTACTTTGATTTTACTCTGTGCTGAAACCCCAGAGAAGATTACATCTTCTTTAATCAGTATACCTATAATTTAGTACTAAATGTCAAGAAAGTTCTTTGGAATTTTGGGAAGTTGGACAAACATCTGGAATGACTGTTTTTACCACAGTGGTCTCCAAGCCTGACGCCTTGTCCCTGGGCTTTGGTTGATCCACCGCTTCCCTTGCTGGCATTGGCGGGCTCAGCACTGCTGGGTCGGCTGCTGAAGACAGTCAAACATGGTGTTCTTTGCTCCTGAAAAGTCACATTTGAGGTGATAGGTCACTTATCAGATTCCTCCCTGGCAGCCCAGCTTGGGAAGCACCCTGGGTACAGGCTGTGTCCGTGTCAAATCAGGTCCTGATAATGGGCAAATGTCAGTCCTGTAGCCTTGAAGGGCTTCTGAGGGAAGCAAGATATTCCATTGCCACTGAAGTTGTGTATCTTAATCATGAATGACTCCAACTGTAGCAGACCCTTATCATCCAAAGCTTTCCAGAAAACTAGTGCCGAGGAGTGAGAGGTGGGTGATACTCTTAACCTGCTTGAATGCAATTAATATTGAGCTGAAGGCTTTTTCCTTTAAAAAAGATATTGTATCTGTTGTTTGGTAAATGGGGGAAAACACACACACACACACCAGAGAACTCTGGATTTGGGAAGAATGAGAAATCAGTGTGTTAACCCTCTGCCATATTCAGATGTGAAGAGTGTCGAAATTCTTAAAAGTTTCCAAGACAAATTTCTCTACTTAAGAATCCTGAAACCTCTTGTTTGTCACTTAAAGCTTGGGAAGTTCTTCCGCATGTCTGGCTCAAATTTTCTACAATTTTTTAAATACATTTATTTTCATGTCTGCAAATGGAAAACAGCTGCCCAGCCTTCCAGTAACAACCTTTGTGAACTTGAAGGTGGTCATTAAGTCACCCCCAGCCACCTTCCTTTGGACTAAGCAGTGCCTTCAACCCTTCTTCAGAGTTTCCACTTCCTATCCCTTTAATCATCTCTCCATCTCCCTAAGCTTTTCTACATCCTTCTTTAAATGTGGGTTTCAAAGTGGAACAAGATTTGCACCGTTAACTGGGTCACTTCCTTTTCAGATCATTGTACATCGCTGTCATTCATATGGGAAACCTGGCAATTTTATCAACATCCAGAGATGAGATGTAGGACTAGCAGTTTCTTTTACCATGGGCTGGGCTTGCTGTGTGGCTGTAGATGCCAGCTTTGGAGTCTGAGACTCTTAGCAAGCTAAACTCCAGTTCTCTTCTAAGACAGGGTTCAGGCCCGTGTCCCCTCCCCTCCTGCCCGAGTTCAGCAGCCAGTTCTGGAGCACATTTCCCAAGCGCTGTGCCCTCCTAGGGAGGAATCACCCATACTGCACTCCTAGTTCCATTTCTAAATCAAGGCTACATACAGTGATCATGAAATTCCTTGGGATCTCACCTCCTCTTCCGAGACGGTTTGCTTTGGGACCAATAGGGGATAAGGGACGTGATTTTCTGAGTCTACTGTCATTGAAATCACGGAGGGGGAGGATCTTGAATTTGGTCCGAGAGTACAGGAAGGTCAACACAATCCTTGAGGGCCTGTTGTTTAGGAGAGATGCGGAATGTCTCTGATTGTCTTGACTGTGTTCCATCTCTGTTGTTTGGGGCTTTTTGGACCTCTCTGTCCCTCTTCTCCTCTGTCTGCCTAAATACTTGGCATTCCATGCGTGGAAACATGGGGATTTTTGACTCTCAGCCAGGGCAGGCAGCAGGTCAGAGCAGACAGCTCCATTGCTTGCTCCCACAAGCTTCTGTGTCCAAGCATAGCCCAACTCAGGCACTCAAGTGACATATTCTTCAGCCCCTGCAGGAAGCAGGGTCCTTATGTCAGCAATGGCCAGCAGGTGACCGTGCACAAGTGTAGGCAGGAGAGCTGGAATGTCTGTGTGGCGAGACTCCTGAGGTAGCACGTTGGTTAATGTCAGGTCTGTTTTATATGTGTGGCCGAGAGGTGTGCTCATGAGTGAAGAGAAATCCTCAGAGTTCTCTCTGCAGATATGGGACTGATTAAGCAGTGACTCCCAGGTGGGACTCACCCCCATACTTTTGAGAGAAGTGATGTAAATTTTGCATTGCAATCAGATTTGTGGATTCCTGGGACATCAGGTTTGGGATGATTGATTACTGGGGTCATTCTGAATCAGTAAATGCACTGCGGCTCCCCTACATGTCACTGTAAGGTACCATCTTGATACTGCCAGCTGTGGGTTTTGAATACGTAAAGGTTCTAAAAGGCGTATTTCTAGGGACTCTGCCCAGTCTTCACTGGAAGTGAAGTGAATCAATCATTCCTGGTTCCCGTAAGATGAATCACCAGGATCCCTGTGTGAGGTTAACAGACATTTAGTTGGGCACCTAAATATTTTCCTTCTCAATGAGATTCAGAGCTCTAATGCAGTAAATCAAGACTTTTCCTACCCGCTTATATTTGAGGACAGAAATTTGCAGATCGGGTGTTGCCTTGCAGTACACTCAGCAGTGCCCAGGTGTCTCTTCTTCCTTGCTAAAAATGTGTTCTTGCATCACTGAACAGGCCCTGTGAACTGCATGCTGTGCTGTGGGCACGGTCCGCAGCGAGAGGGCAGTGCTACACATAACATCTCTGCTTTCTTTTCTCCAGTCCAATAGGCAGCCAGCCAAGTTGAACCTTCTTACCTGCCAGGTGAAACCGAACGCCGAGGACAAGAAGTCTTTTGACCTGATTTCACGTGAGTTCTTTAGAACACTTTTGGTAGGTTGTTGTGGGTTCTGACACCTGCAGATGTCCATCATCCGGATCCTGAAGCAGCTTTTCCAAGCAGGGATCTAAGGTCACCATGGTGGAGCTGCTTGTCATTCCTGCACCTGCAGCTTTAGATGGAGTCTTGCTCCAGCAGTCTTCCTGCCTCAGCCCCCAAGCAGCTGGCCTATAGACATGTGCTACTGTGCCTGGCTTTCTCAGGTCACTTAATTTGCACCGAGCCCTCTTACAGTTGGGAAGGCATAGCAGTGTCAGATGTGACCGTGTTTAGGAATATGAAGAGTATGCATTTATATGTTGTCCTGGTGCAGTGAGTCCACAGCTGGATCCCCTCAGAGAGTTGTTTCCAAGTATGTTCCCGTTTCTCTGAATTTCAAAGATTCTTTGGTGTGAGGTCCAGATATAGAGGTTTTAAAGCCCTTCTGTGGTTTTTAAAGTGCACCTGGGGGTCAAGAGGCTCCGATGTAGACTTGGGAATGCATGTGTAGCACTGTACCATACAGTTAATTTGCCTGGAGTTATATCCCTGCAAAATCAGACTCTTCGAGAAAAAATCGTTGTCTTGCTTCCAAGCAGGATGGGCCTTCAAACTTCATGAATTGCTGACACTGTATCCACTCACTTCCTTATGCCATATGGTTCAGATTTACTTTCCCTTGAGGTGACAGCATAATAACTTCCCCTACACACACCCTGTAGCCTGTGCTGTCATGGTGAGTAGCAGCTGGGGACTGCTGTTCTGCTAAGTTAGCTCCTGTGGGAGCACCTGCTGGCCACATTGCAGCTGAGGGGACACCTCCTTCTGCATGGGGAGAGGCCAGCAAGGCCAATGAAGTGACTCACCACCTTCCCAAAATCCTGCAGTGCCAGCCTTAGGTTTTGTCCTCCTCTGTCAGAGCCCAGCAGAGCAGGCCAGGAGCTGAAGTGCATGACCTGAGTGGAAGCACAAACATACCTTCCTGCCCTGCAGTTCCATGAATGCAGGCTCAAAAACAGTCCAATCTAGGAGTTTGTCGGTCATGAGGCTCTTTGGGTGTAATGTGAGCTGGGTTCTACAGCATCATGTAAAGTTTGGATTCCCATGATTTTCATGACTTGGAGATTTCTTGGGTTATTAATGAGAAGGAAATAGGAAAAGTTGAAATTATATGGTTTCAAAAAGCCAAGAACCCCTAGATATGAGAACCTATAGATTATTAATAATAGTTGTCAGTTATTGAGCATCTAAATGTGCCAGATACTTTTAATATACATTATGGCTAACTCTCACAGAAGCCCTATCAGTTTTCCATTTTACAGAAGAGAAAAAACTAAGCTTAGGAGAGGTTCAGTGATTCGGATGAGGTCCCACAGCAATAAGGTGGGGTATTTGGCCAGGGCCGTGAAGTGCTCCTACCCATGTGTGTACTTAAACATATACATTGTCTTTTTCGTGAAGGACGAGGGCGCCCAGCCCAGAGCAGTCATGTAAGAAAGTGCTCAGTAAATGTTATTTCACCCTGAATGTCTTGAAGCATCTTGCAAATCTTGGGTTTTAAGAAAGCACTTCTCTCATGGACATCTGTCCCAAATAGCCAGTTTACACCTCATCCTCCCTGTCCTGAGTGGCAAAGTTGAGCCTTTCTTCCTGGAGAAGAAAGCAGGGGGCAGCCAACACCTGGGGCAAAGTGGGCAGCAGCTGCCCTGCAGGGGGCTTTTAAGCCATGGAGAAGTGGCTGGTGAATCCTTGCTGCAAAGGAGATACTCCACACTGCGCTTTGTCCCCAAAGCCCACCTGGCCAGATGGGACCTCTTCCCTTTTCACTTTTGTTTCAGAAGAGGTGCCTAATGTTTGCATGGTATTTGTGTTATTATATTCCTCTGGTACTTGAGAACAATAATATTGACAGGGCAAACTGTGCATCTGGCAAAGCATGATGTAAAAAATAATCTTAGATTCCGACTCTTGCTGGATGGGGTTTTTTTTCCCTAGAACTTTAAAGAGCTGCGTTACACCTGAATGATGATGCTTTCTGAGGTTTCACTTTCTTTTTCTTTTCTTTTAGATAATAGGACGTATCATTTTCAGGCAGAAGATGAGCAGGATTATGTGGCGTAAGTAGTTTGTAGAGTTAGTAGGAACCGCTCCTGGCTCTCCAAGCTCCTTTCCCACACTTTGCTCCTTCTTGCCTCTGGGGTGCTCGGTCCTATCTGCTCAGTAAACATTGGCACCTCCTGCCATTTTGGGCCCAGGCCTCTCTGCCTCTGAGGTCATTGCTCCCTCCTCTGTGCCCATGGCTGCTTCCCCCCACTGTTGGCCTCTGGTGCTCACCCATGGCCCTCTGGAGACCAAGAGCTTCCTGAGAACACGGGCTGCACCTTACTTGTCTTTTAATCATGTCACCCACACTTAGAAAGCCCTTGCTCAGTGTTTGGTGGCCAAATGCATGAGCCAGTGTGCCTGGATGCTTCCTTGAGGAAGAACACTGCCAGGCTCCCTTTCCCTGGGTCACTGCATTGGGAAGAGCCAGGTTTGTGGTCCATGCTACTGGGAGCAGTCCCGAGCCACCTTCCTGTGGCTGCCCTGGGCTGCGGAAGGTGGTCTACAGCTATGATATTCTCAGCTGCTCACAGCCCTGGTGCTAACGAGGGCAGTTGACCTTTATGCTGTTCAGATTTCTCTTGTTTCTGGCAAGTCCCAGGGTAATGTGGCTGAGTTTCACAAACTCTCAAAGTGCTGTCCCATCCATGGCAATCAGTATTGTCATTTTCCTTTTCTGATTTCTTCCCAGAGGGCCACAGGTGCCCTTCACACCCAGTGTGCCTCACACACCTCTTCTCTTTCATTCACTCTCACACGTGCTTCTCTGCAGCATTATTCTCATTTATTTATGTATATAATGGATATAATTAATAGGAAATACAAATTGACATCTTGGTTACCAAAACACTTTGGGAAGTTTTTGCCGTTTTCTGTCCACTCTGAGGCATCTTGTGCAGGGCTGCCTACCTCCCAGAGACCTGTCTCTGACATTGTTTAGTGAACTGGGTGCAACATTTTTCTCTTTCCCTGTGGCAGAGGGGAAATGGTAAAGGGATCAGAAAGAGACTAGGAATGGGTAAAGGCATGTGGAGTTGGGAAATACAGCCAAAGAGAATCAAGTGGAGAGGCAGGTTAGGGAGACAGAGAAGGAAGAGCCAGCTCTGTACCCATTCGTCCACCTGAATACTTATTAAATGCCACTGAGATACCAAGAACAGTGCAAAGCACTGAGAACACATCAAGAAATGTAGCGGAGCCCTGCCCAGAAGGAGACGAGCCATGTGACGTGGAGCAGGCGCTAAGCACAAGGGCTACTGGGGGGAAGCAGACTCGGGGTGCTGATAAGCCGTGCTGGCTCTGGCAGGCATGGAAGGGTGTGAGCACTCTGCCCTGCAGGCAGGGTCCTGACGGCAGGAAGCCACAGGCAGATCGGGGAGAGGCCCCCCGGGCTTGATGTTCCGAGCACAGAGTTGGCAGAGGAGACTGTGACTCAGGAACCAGATGAGAAGGGCCCTGTCAGGAGGGCTGCCTTCCACCCACAGATTCGGAGAGCTGGTGTTTATTGAGGTTACTGTGCTAAGTGGGCCACAAACCCAGGAAGGAGGAACTTTGATCCCTAGTTTGCAGATGAGGAAACAGGCACAGTGTGCCTGTGGCCAGGGTCCTGGTAAACCAGGATTTCAATCCAGACAGAATTCCAAACCCACGGGGGAATATTGCTTCCTGAACTTCTCTGATTCCTCTCCCCCCTCTCTTCCCTCCCTCCCCCTCCTCAGAGCTCTAACTGGAAAACAAATGAGAAATTCACGTGAGGTCGGGAGGGGTCCACCTCATCTTTGTGGCCTTCTGTCTACACCCAGGCCTCCAGTGTCTTATTGATTCTCGGGGCTTAGAGGCAGTTCAGCCCCATTTTGTGAGATGACTGGTTTCCTGCCCCTGGGACTCAGCACTCTTCAGTAAAAATGTTGCTTTGTCCATCGTGAAATTGCCACACGTTTTGCACTTCAGCCTCTTCAGGTAGAGGCGAGGGGCTTCAATTTGAGTGAAGTAGGAGGTAACTGCACAAAGAGATCACGTGCCCAGAGGGAAGCCTCAGTTCTTTTTTACCCCCAGGTTCACATAGAGGCAGTTTCACTGAATCATTGGGTTCCGACCCAGTGCAAAAAAGTGTCCAGTGGAACTAAATGAAAAAAAATTCTTTCCAACCAAGGAAGGGGGCAGTGTCAAGTCCAGCAGTGGCCTTTGCTCCAGGTTCTGCTCACCAGTGCCTTTCCACTAAGGGATGGGGCCAGGGCCATCTCTTCAATAAGCAGAGGAGAGTGAGGATTTTGCGAGTGAGGACAAAATGGGTGAAGCTCCTCGCATGGTGGCAATTTATTTTTTTATCTTGCAAAACTCAAAAGTTATTTTTAAGGTATTAAAATACAATTATGTATTGCTGCTTGGACTTTTTTATGTCTGTTACTTTAAAATAATTTAAAAGTTACATATTGTCAGAAGTAGTTAACTTTGACTCTTGACCCTTTTGAAATATAGCCACTCCAATTCCATCAAATCTGAATTACTTCCCTGGAGACTTAATTGTCCTTTAACTGTATTTTTTTCTGATTATCCTGACAAACTTCCTTTTTTTTTTTTTTTTTTTCTTTTTAATCCTGAGCCTTGGGGTGAAGAGACAAATGTGGCATAATGGGAGAAACTCTGAAAGGGGGCCAACAAAATGGCTTTCCTGCCAGCCTTCCCAGTCCAGCTGCAGGGCCCTGGGAAAGTCACATAACTGTCCTGGCTTCTGTTGCCTCACCTTCAAGGTATTTTAAAGCCCAGCCTACAGGCTCTCGGGGAATTTTGTTTCAAAATTATAAGCCCTTGGCCCATGGTAGAGACTGGTCCATAGTAAGGAGCCGAACGTCATGGTGCCTGAGGGAAGCAAACTGGAGCTGTCTGCGGTCAGCAGGGAGACCAGTAACAGCAGTCCGGCCAGCGAGTTCCACAGTGGCTAGTCCTGTCACACCAGTTTCTTGAATTGTTTTTTAAGAAAACAGTTTTCTAATTTGAGACTAAATAATTAAAGATACTGTCTACTGCCCTAGACATTGGTTCTGAAGTGGTGTTTTCTGCAGTAGAAAAGGAAAGCTATTCAGGTGTGTCATGATGTCTTGAAGGTGAGCGCCACCTAGAGTCAACGGTGTGAGGTGCAAGCCAGTGCTCCAAGCAGTTTTAATTCTCAAATTTCGCTATTACTTTGTCAAACATTTTGTAGATGGTGCTTTGCTTTGTATCAGCTTCATCCTACAATATATAGAACAAAATAACAAAGAAAAAATACCCAACATACTCAGTTCTAAACCTCCATATGACGTTTTGAAGACAAGCTTTCATTTTGAAGCCAGTGGCTGGCAATGTTTTTCATTATCTTTTTTCAAACTTTGGCTTTTTCTTCCTCATTCATTAAAGTAATACAAACTTATTTTAGATTAGGAAAATTACATAAAAGCGGAGACAAGCTATTCCTCATCAGTTTTTTCCTAAAGAAAATCACTCAGAGACAACCAGTGTTAGCATTTTGGTGAAATCTGTCCTTTTTAGTCATTACAATACCTGGCTTCAAATTATACAACAAAGCTGTAGTAGCAGAAACTGGCATAATAACAGACACATACAAATGGTACAGAATAGAAGACACAGAGACAAGCCCATGCATCTACAGTCATCTGATTCTTGACAGGGATGCCAGAAACATACGCTGGGGGAAAAGAGCCTTTTTAACAAATGATGCTGGAAAAACTGGTTATCCACATGCACGAGAATGAGACTAGACCCCTATCTTTCACCCTGTACAAAACTCGACCTCAACTCAAAATGAATCAAAGACTTGGAAATTAAGCCAGAAACTATGCAACTCCTAGAAGAAAACATAGGGTCAACACTCCAGCATGTAGGCACAGCTAGGACCCCTAAAGCTCAGGAAATAATGCAAGAGTTAATAAATGGGATAGCCTCACGTTAAAAATCACAGCCCAGGAAGCAAGAATGTGAAGAGAGAACCTATAGAACGGGAGAAAATCTTTGCTAACTATTCTATGACAGGATTAATAACCAGAATATAATAAATGGGCACATGAAGTAAACAGACTCTTCTCAAAAGAAGAAATACAAGCAATTGACAAATACATGGAAAAAAAATGTTCAACGTCCTTAGCAGTTAGGGAAATGCGAATCATCTCACACAAGTTATGGCAGCCATCAAGAACACAAATAAGAATGCTAGAAAGGATGTGGAGGGAAAAAAACATACCCAACGAACTCAGTTCTATACCTCCATATGACATTTTGAAGACAGTGGCTGGCAATGTTTTTCATTGTAACTTTTACATCATTGGTGGGATTGTAATTAGCAAAACCACCATGGAAATCAGTATGGAGGTTCCTCAGAAGACTAGGAAGGGAACCACCATTTGACCCAGCTGTACCACTCCCTTGTATTTATTGTATTTAAAAAATTAAAGTTATACTGTACCAGTCTATGCATACCCATGTTTATAGCAGCCCAGTTCACAATAGCCAAACTGTGGAACCAGCCTAGGTGTCCATCAACAGATGAATAGATACAGAAGATATGGTGTATATGCACAATGGAGTTTTATTCAGCCATAAAAAAATAATGAAATTGTCATTTTCAGGAAAGTGGATGGAGCTTGAGACCATTATGTTAAGTGAAATAATCCAGACTTAAAACATGGGGTTGTATGTTTTCTCTCATGTGGGAGCTAGAGAGGAAGAAGGGGAGGGGTCTCATAAAAATCAAAGGGAGGGGGCTGGGGTCGTAGCTTGCGGGAGAGTGCTTGCCTCACACATATTGGGCATTGGGTTTGAAGGCACCACATAAAAATAATAAAAAGTAAAGATATGGTGTCCATCTTTTAAAAAAAGTCAAGGGAGATCAGTAAAGTAGAGCACAGGGACCCAGGGAGGGAAGAGGAGAAATGCTGGGGACTAAATATTGGCCAAGTTTTATTTCATATTGTGTGCATGTATAAATGTGGAACAAATTCCACTATGTACAATTATGATGCACCGATAAAAGGAAGAAAATAAATTGATAAATGCAATCATATATATTATCACGTGATATTTTGTTGCCACCATTTAAAAAGTCGAAGTTTTTAGGTAATTACATAGTTATGTTTTTACAAGTTCTCTGAACTGCTCAAGGTAACTGAAATTACTTGCACCCAAAATGTTTGTAAGTTAGGGGACGTTGTCAGTTTGTGTCTCCTGTGTTCCCTCGGGCTTTCTGTGAATAGATTATGATTTAATTGATTAGGGTTCTGCTGTTTCACATGAGATCTTCCAGCTCCCCCAGGTCAGCTCCCCCAGGTCAGAGCCTTGCTTGTTCCCCACATCCTTAATCACAGTTAATTTACTTCCTGAGTCTCAACTTCAAAAGTCAGAAGGGTCCAATGTCATCAACTAATGAAGTAGACCAATGGGGACTGTGGCAAAATGATATTTATGCCCCTTTCAAAGGGGCAGCTGCCACCAGACCACTCCAGATCCCTGCTGTTGGACCAAGTTTCCCACGTTTTGCTTTGTTTTCCCCAAAAATTGAACTCTAGAAGGGCTCTTTGCCCCTGAGCTACATCCAGTCCTTTTCGTTTTTTATTTCAAGACAGGGTCTCGCTTACTGAGACTGGCCTAGAACTTGTGATCCTCCTGCCCTGGCCTCCTGAGTTGCTGGAATCACAGGATGGGCCTGAGAACTTGCTTGTTCACATTCCCCTTCATGGTTATTTCATGCTTTATTAAGCAGCACCCTGTCTTTGGACTTCTGGGTGGTTTCACGCTTGGACTGGAGGCGGGAGGTTACTGGGGAACAGATGACGGTCCTACTGCATATGTTATCAGGGAGCCTTCACGCTCCCTTGTGCATTGTAAATGTCACATTTTGATGTTCATTTTTCATAAGCATAAATGTTGTGGCTGCTAACATAATATTCCTTCATTTTCACCTGTAAGCGTCCTCACAGACAGGCTTCCACAGCAGATGCCTCTGCTGAGCTCTGTCCCATTCCCTCCCCTTCTCCAGTGGTCCCTTGCTGGCCCCCTGCCCCCTGGCATCCTCTTGATTCTGCCCGAATAGAAACAAGGCACCGTGCGTGCTCCTGCCGGTCCTCAGCTGCACGGGTTTCTCCTTCTCTGTCCTCTCCTGTGTTGCTTTCCCCTCTTTAAGTCTTTCCTTCCTCTCCTTTCCCTCACTTTGTAGCTGCTTGGGGTGGGGGTTCTCTTTTGGAAGTTCTTGATGAAAGAGGACTGTTTGCAGTGAAGGGAGAAAGCCACGGCCACACCCTCAAAGGCCTCCTGCCTCTGCTGTTCTGACCGCAGGTGGATATCGGTGCTGACCAACAGCAAAGAGGAGGCCCTGACCATGGCCTTCCGGGGCGAGCAGAGCACGGGGGAGAACAGCTTGGAAGATCTGACGAAAGCCATCATTGAAGAGGTCCAGCGGCTCCCCGGGAATGACGTGTGCTGTGACTGTGGCTCGTCAGGTATTTGTCCCCATGCTTGAACTGACCTGCTAAGCATGCACTCTAGATGTAGAATATAGAACAAGCTCACTACTTAAAAGCCTTGCCTCCTGTGGACACCGTCGCACACGCACGCACAACATGTGTTCCCACCATGAACATCCCACCCTTCAGTTGCTCCTACCTACACCCTTTGCTCTGCCTGGAAGGCGCCCACCTGTTCTCCTACATGGCCACGGTGCTCCCTTTCCTATGAGGTCAGTTAAATAAACACCAGGGACCTCAAGGGAAGAGCACAGACAGGGTGTCCCACTATAGATCACAAGTCTGCCCTCAGGGCCTGGATGATGTCAGGTCAAGTCCCTTTACCATTCTGATCTGCAGCTTCCTCATCCTGCAGTCAGGATAACACACCCCATTATGAGGCCTTAAGAGCTGTGTGTGTGAAATACACTGACACCTGATACCTGGCCTTCCTTCCTGCCTGCCCACTGAAACCTCCCAGCCTCTGCTTCACACGATATCACCCTCCCGCAAACTTCTGCTTCCAGGTAGCACTGTGTCGCCAAGGTGTTGACAACAGCTAGCAATGGCAGAGTGCTTCCCTGTACTGAGGAATGTGCTTGGGGTTTTACTTAAATATCACACTGAAGCTTCAGAAAAGTTCTTTGAGAAGTGCTGGTGTCCCCATTTGATAGATGAGGATACTGGGACTCAGACAAGGTGATTTGCGTTATGTCACCAAGATAGTAGAGGTGAGAACAGGGAGCCAAACCTGGTGTTCTCGAGCATTAGGATCTACTTATGGTTCTGCTTGTGACACTGGACTTCACGGAATGCCACAAGCACCTCAGAGAGGAGTCAGGTTTCCTACCCTTTTCAGGTGTGTGTGACAGTGACTCACAGTGTGGGCAAGTGGCAGAGGGAACGTTCAGCTGTTGGTCTTTTGGAGAGGGGATTGGCTCATTTCATTTAGCATGATAGTCTCCAGTTCCATCCAACCACAAGAACGGGATCCTAGTTAGAATAAATTATACTCCGTGTATGTATAATATGGCAAAATTCACTCTACTGTTATGGATATATAAAAAGAATGATTTTTTTAAATGATTAAAAAAAACAATAGAGCATGAAAGCAAGTTTTATACTATTTTAGCTTTCTCTGTAATTGCATGCTAAATTAGATATCTTGTTTGTTTCATTAAATTGTTTCCACAGAACCCACCTGGCTTTCAACCAACTTGGGTATTTTGACCTGTATAGAATGTTCTGGCATCCATAGGGAAATGGGGGTTCATATTTCTCGCATTCAATCTTTGGAATTAGACAAATTAGGAACTTCTGAACTCTTGGTAAGTAATAACCTCTACTTTGAAAGAGAACTTAAAATTTATTTTTATGAATATATTTAATATATTGTTTTGGGATTTTTGTCTCTTCTAGGTAAAAGAATTCTAATTTCCTGAATTTTTTTTATGAGTTTTAGGAAACAACTTTTTTTTTTTTTTTTTTTTTGGATACTGGGGATTGAACCCAGGGGTCTTTAACTACTGAGCCACATCCCCAGACCTATTTTGGATTTTATTTAGAGACAGGGTCACTGAGTGGCTTAGCACCTCGATGTTGCTGAGGCTGGCTTTGAACTTGAAGTCCTTCTGCCTCAGCCTCCCGAGCCACTGGGATTACAAGTGTATACCACCTCACCTGGCTAGGAATTCGTTTTTATAATAAGTTAAAATCACATGTTCACATTACCTAATGACTTATGTTATTAAAAATAATGACTAAAAAGTTCTTGATTTTATTTGTACTGTTTCTGTTTGTAAAAGTACATATGACTTAGAATTACTGTCACAATCACTGTCACAAAACCAGTTACTCCTTAATTCATAACTTCTTTACCTCATAACAGAATAAACAGTGTAAACTTGTGTTGCTTAGCTTTGTAATATGAAAAAAAAAATGTTATGAACAGTTAAGTTTTTCTTTAACCACTGCTCCTTCCATCATGATTCACCTGAATATTGAGCCCTCATCAGATCCAAGTTAAATTGGTGCTGCCATAAATATGTCAAGAAAGGAAACAGGAGGCCCAGGTGGCATCGGCATGATGCCTGGAGGCCCTGAGCCTTGTCTTGTCAAGTTTAACCCTGGTGCACTAAGAGCAAGTCTTTGTATGTAAAGTGGAAATGTTTAAGTAGAACTCAGAAGGGTCTCCCTGGAGCAGCTCCTGAGTGAACACAGCTGAGGACAAGCTGATGACCGCGCTTGTCACTAGCCTTGTCTGGAGAAAAGTAAAAAGCTCAGGGCAGCCAGTCACCAGCCAGCAGCCTGCCCCAGCTGAGGGTCCACTGTGCAGTGCTGATCCTCCTTGTGCTGTGCGTGCCTCTTCATCAGAAAATAGGAAATCATGCTGACAGTGGGCCCCCGTCCCTCAGGATTACAGAGAAAGACTCAGACCTCATACCTGAGCACTTTCTCCTTTAGTGCACAGTTGGTGCATCTCCTTGACTTGTGGAAATGAAACCCGGTCTAACACCTGGAAACAGGAAAGCCCAGTACGAAACACTCTGTGCAGTAAGCCCAGGCCTTGTCTACTGAAGGAGGGAGTACTTCTTCAACCTCACCTTGCTCTCAAAATTATGTGAATAACCAAAGGCCCTCCGGGACAAATTTTCTTGGAAATATCTTGAATCCAGAAGCAAAATGTTCCATAGGTCCTCAGTAGTTACCTGTAGCATCTTCATCGGTACCCAAATATAAAAAGTAATCCTACTTTTCTGCCCACTAGGAGTAAATTTCATCATAAAGAGGAGATGAGCTGGGGTTGAAAAATATGTTTCTGCCCATTAGAAATTCAGCCTAAACTCACAGATGGAGCTCTCTCTCTCTGATCTCAAAGGGTTTAACTGTGTGTAGGACCAGATCCTATTCTATTCTGGCATTTATCACTTGATATACTAGATGTGATTGATTTTCTTGTCAGCCTCACTAGGGAAAAGAGAGCATGATCTGCCCATTTCTCTCATTCAGAGTTCAGTGCCTGGCATGTAGTAAGTAGGTGCTCAGTAAATTTTTGTTGACCAGTTGAATGGATGGTTTATATTCTGAGTCAAAGGAGGGAAAATATACATTCAGAAATCGCAAAAGCAAATAATAGGAAGCTTTTAACTATTAGTAAAGAGCTTACTGTATTGTGTTTTGTTTATGTTGCAGCTGGCCAAGAATGTAGGAAACAATAGTTTTAATGATATTATGGAAGCAAATTTACCCAGCCCCTCACCAAAACCTACCCCTTCAAGTGATATGTAAGTATCTCCAATATATTAAATTGTTCACTGTTCTAGAATTGTTTTCCTATCCTCCCCCAAAATTTTCTTAGTGGTTAAGTTTTCCCATTATTGGGGAGAAGCACAGCAAAATGTATTTTTGGAATCCACAGATTCTTTCCTCCATCAGCTTCTCCTAGGTAGGGGCAGCTGAGCACCTGCTCTGTGGAGCATAGACCTTCATGAGGATGAGGATAGTTTTCTACACTTGAAACATGTTGTGACACATGAAAGACCTACAAAGACTACTGGAGCTGGGCACTGTGGTGCTCACCTATAATCCCAGAGACTCGGGAGGCAGGAGGATCACAAGTTCAAAGCCAGCCTGGACAGCTCGGCAGACCCTGTTCAAAAAGCAAAAGAATGGGGTTGTAGCTCAGTGGTAGAATGTTATTGGGTTCAATCATCCCTGGTACCAAAAAGAGAAGAAAAGGACCATGGGAGATTCCTGTCAGACTGGCAAAACTCCCAATGCTTTCCACCCCAGTGCTTTCACTCAGTAAGTCTGTGGGGAAGCAGACATTCTATTAATAGTTGCTGGTGGAAGTACAAGATGGCGCATTATAAAAAACAAATTAGTGGGGCTGGGGTTGTGGCTTAGCAGTAGAGTGCGTGGCTGGCATGTGCAAGGCACTGGGTTCGATCCTCAGCACCACATAAAAATAAATAAAGGTGTTGTGTCCAAATACAATAAAAAATTTTTTTAAAAAAATAAATTACCTATATTTACCAAAGCTATAAATCTATTTACTCTTTGACTCAACTGTCCCACTTCTGTGAATTTATTCCTCTTCTGTAGTAGCAAGAGTAGAAACAAAACCAAGTATCCATTTATAGGCCTCTGAGTGAAAGTTAGAGTACAGTGACACAGTTGAGCACTGTTACATAAAAGAAAGCAAGACACAGAGCACCAAACTAAACGGCCTGCCCAGGGGAAAGGAAGGGTGCCAGGGAGTCAGCAAAGTACACCTGTCCCTTCCATCCAGGCTCGTGTTCAAACTTGGGAACTGAAATTTGGCTCAATTTGTTGATAATTCCTCCTAAATCTCTCACTACTCACTGTCTAGGTCTTAGATTCTGATAGTAAAAGATGCATAAAGGTAGATGTTTATGAACTTAAAATTCACTTGAGGGAACACTTGAAAGCACCCAGGAAATCAATAAAATTGCATGCTCTGGGCAGGAGTGGGGGTGAGACTTCTAAGTATTCTTGGATACCACTTTTATGTTTGAGCCATGTAACTCTATTAATCTATTAAAAGTGTTTTAATTGAATTAAACCCAGGATCTTACGCATGGCAATCACGCTCTATCACCAAGCTACGCCCTCAGCCCCCACAATTCAAGCGTTCTCAGTGCTGTGTAGAGTAGGATAGAGACTGACTGGTCGGGGAAGGCCTTGGAGGAGGAAGGCTGGAAGCAGGACACCTCTCTTCCTTGGACACCAGATTTGAGAAACTACTCAAATTATTAGTGGGCACATTCAGTCTGAAATGTGAGATCAAGTCTCACAGAAGCCTCTTGGCAGTGGTCTTTTCTTGGATTCTGCAAATGCTTGCTGTGTGCTTCCTGTCACTGGGGAAACAGCAGGAGACAAACTGCATGCAGAGCCCATCAGCCATGATGCCTGGGGTCTGGAGGGTAGCATAGGTGTGACCCAGGGAGTGAGGGTTTGGGGTGCTGGGGTTTGGATACCTCCCCCACCTAACATGGAGGCCATCTTGCTTGGCAGCAATGTCCAAATAGATCGTCACAAAAACTGCCGATGTCTTTTCTGCACTAGTAAGAGCAGGTCACCTCGAGAGGTCAACTTGAGAAATCAGCTGGATCATAAAGCTGCAGTAAACAAAGAAGTTCTGAGTCCCCTCACCAGCCTTCTGGCAGCAAGGGCTTGAGCACACAGAGAGCTGTCCTGCCCACACCAGTGCTTCCAGAATCTCTGCACACCTAGAGCTTGCTAGGAGAGAGTGTAACCAGGCTGCTGCACTTCAGATCCCTGCCCTCTATGACTTGAGCTGTGTGACCTTAGGCTAGGCCTGTGCCTCAGTTTCCTCATCTGAAGACTGTGTCGACCTCTTGGGGTTATGCTAAGGCTTATGGGGCTTCAATTAAAAAATGACTGGGGACAGCACTCTGTATAAGTATTATTTTATTTCATTTATCTCACTACCCAGAGAAATAAAGTGAACCTTCTGTAATATGCAGTTCATCATTTAGTTATTCAGCAAACAACTTTTTTTTTTTTTTGAGATAGTCTAAGCTCTTTCAGACTGGCCTTGAATTTGCCATCCTCCTGTCCCAGTCTCCCGAATAGCTGGGATTTCAGGCATGTGCCACCTGCCCTGTTCATTCAGTGAATTCTTATTAGGCCACCTCTATGCTCTGGGTATTGTGTTAGGTGCCAAAGATACAGTAACAACACAGAGTTCCTGTCCTTACATTCTGACCATGGTGAGGAAAACAGAGAATTAAAAAAATATATAGTATAATTTCTCCTAGAATTAGGTGTTATAAAGGGAATACGAGAAGATGAGTAGGGTTTTGGTAGGAGGGGGTGGTTAGAGTGGAGAGCTGCGGTAGGCGGGCCTGACAGCGGGCCAGGCTGCTGGACAGTGGTGTGGGTGCAGGACAGGCGCAGCCATTCTAAGCTGTAAGACAAAGGCAGGTGTGACTGCAGGGACAGCAGGAGGCAGAGTGTAGGAGATGGCATGTGAGGTGGGGCCAGATCACAGGTGGCCTGTAGGATGTGTGATGTTTGGAGTTTTATCCTAAGTGTGACTGAGAGGTTTTAAACAGAGAAGCTTGATGATCTAAGTTCTGTTTTTAATGTGTCATTTTAGCACAGCAGTTCTCAACTAGGGGTGACCGTCCCTGGCCACCAGAGGACACTAGGCGGTGTCCAGACCTGGGCAGGTGTCGCTGGCACCAGTGGGCAGAGGCCAGTCGTCCTGAGGTTAGAAGCCCTGCTGTAGTTGATTGTGAAGGACAGATGGTGGGGCGGATGGAAGCACAGCCAGGGAGAATGTGGTCGGCCAGATCCACTGTGGAATGGAAGCAGTGCAGCCAGAGGTGGCAGCAGGGGGACGAAGCAGAATAGTTGGACTTCAGTGTGTTCTGAGGGGAGTTGCTGGTGGCCGAGGCCTTGCTGTGGGGGTCTAAGTGGGGGGGGGTTTGAAGAGCTCCCTGAGGAGGTAACCCGTGGGCTTTCGCCCAGCCTCCAGGTACATACGGGGACCACTGATTGGAATACGGTAGATGAGCAGGGCCAGGTTTGGGGGACCTGTCTTTTCCAGCCCTAGGAGGGGAGCTCTGGTGTCCAGAGCTTTAGACAGCTGACATCCCCCCGCCCCAGAACCCCAGTGTCACAAAACCTGTGATTGCCCGGGGACTGCAAACCAAGAGCCCTGGGTGAATTGAACACATCCTGTCTAGTGAGAGGTCACACACTTCCTGTGTCCACAGATCGGGTGACCCAAGGGTGGAGATCTTGAGGGTGGCCCAGGTGGTACGACACCCGAGGGTCCTCTGCATCATTTCTGCCAGCTGGTCACTGGTGCTGGTGTGTTCCTTCCAGCACCTGGATGCTACCTGCAGAACTTGCTGGAGGTTAGTTAAAACACCAGAGGTCTCCCTCCCACAGCTCTCCATCGTTGGTCCTAGTTCTGCCTTCTGGTAGCAAAAGGAAGACAGCTTTCAAAATGAGGCTTTAACCCGTGCATCACTCTGTTCTGTACCTACTCTCACATCCCTGGAAGGGTGCATAAGGCAGGGGGCGTTAGTCGTATTTTACAGATAAGAGAACAGGCACATCCAGAACTTGGTCTATCAAGTGGTATCAGATAAAAGCAAGCCGTTCAGTTCTTCAGCCTGGTGCTCAACACAGTAGCTGCCTTCACACTTCATATAAGTCATGAGGGGGCTCAGAAGCCAGGCTTAGCCCATTCTTTCACCTTAGTGAAAGTGTGTGTTTGTTTGTTTTCAGTTTGTGTATGTGTGTGCGTGCGCGCGCAAGCACTTGGAATGGAATCCACATTCTCACACATGCTGGGCAAGCACTCTACCACTGAGCTTCCCCAGCCCTCTTTAGCAGTCTTTTAGCACATCAGACTGTGGCCATCCAAAAAGGACTTGACCTAAGTGTAAAGACACCCGTGCTTGCTAGATCTTGGTTACTTAGCAGACACTACACAAAGTTGAGGAAGGACCAACAGCTGTGTGCTCTCCTCACCCAGCTCAGCTCTTTTGACCGTCAACCCAGAACGAGAGAACTGTACAGTTCTGAACAGTGTAGGACGCGGGGGCCAGCAGCAGTTACTGCAGGTGTGGTGACTATTTCTGAGCAAGGAATCTTATATCCCTTGTGAGAGAGCCATCTCGGAAGCAAGAAAGCACCTGTTAGGTGCTGTACTTTCTTGAATTCAAAATGTGCTAAGGAGTATGGTTCGCCATTTTTAGATGAAAAAGCAGAAGCTCATAAAGATGAAGTAAGGGCACACAGCTGGCACGCTGCAGAACTAGGATCTGAACTCAGACTCTGTTTGCTGTCTTTTTAGTAACTGGCTCGTGGAACCAGGAAAATAGTTCATTCAAATTAGGGACACACTGGTAGGAATGTAACACCAAACACAGGAGGTTGGTATCTGTTCAGGTACAGCTGGATCTGGAATGGCAGACATGATCATCTGACCCCAGCTCTGTCTCCCTGTCTCTTGTCTCCTTTCCTCTGAGCTGACTTCTGTTTCAGAATTATCCCAAAGGTGGCAAAGATGACCATTGTGCTACTTAGGTTGTATTTTCTTTTTCTTTTTTCTTTCTTTTTTATTTTTTAGTGGTTGAGGGATCTTTATTTTATTTATAAGTATCTGGTGCTGAGAATCGAACCCAGGGCCTCACACATGCTAGGCAAGCACACTACCACCAAGCCACAACCCCAGCCCTTAGGTTGTATTTTCCAGTGGCCAGGAGGTGGGCTTGGTCACACCAGGGCCAAGTGAACTGAAGTAGCGAGGGTGACTATTTAAGAAATGTCACACCCACTCAGACCTTGGGCTGGTTGTCCACAGCAGGCTACTGCTGCCAGCCCGAAACCTGTGCAGGGAAGAGAGTCGTTGTCACCCTTCGGGAGCTCAGTGTTGGCCTGTGGGGGTTACTGAAGGCAGCCTTTCTGAGCCTCAGTCACATCAACTATAAAATGGGGTATTGTATCTGAAGACTAAAATCCTTTTCTCAAAGCTCTGAAGACTTTTAATTGGTCTTTAAGGAGTTTTAACTTTTTTGATTTTTCAACTTCTATAAATACTTACATGGATTTGAGTTTGAAATATTAGTAAATTTCTAATGATCTCATGGTGGGGAAAAAATCGGCTATGGTCTATAAGCCATTAATTTTGTAACTGCACATTACCTGCATATACTAGTAAATATACATCAATTTCTTCCTTTTGTCTCTCATGTAATAACTTGGTCTAAAACCTGGTTTGTTTGAATATTGAAAAGAACCACATTTTAATGGCTCTTAAAAGCTCTTCTCAAAGAGGAATGTCTGTCAGAACAATGTGTGAAGCTTTAGCTATTGAAAAATCAAGCTCTTGGGTCATCTTCTTTTGTTCTGTTGTAGGACTGTACGGAAAGAGTACATCACTGCGAAGTACGTCGACCACAGGTTCTCTAGGAAGACCTGCTCCTCCTCGTCAGCTAAGCTGAGTGAGTTGCTGGAGGCCATCAAATCCAGGGATCTACTTGCACTCATTCAAGTCTATGCAGAGGGGGTGGAGCTCATGGAACCACTGCTGGAACCTGGACAGGTAGGGCCTGTTAAAATCCCATGGCAGAACGTCACAGCTGCTCAGATGACGTTACGTAACTGTAGCGCACGATCACGGATCCTGATAACTTGATTGTGTGAACATGTCTAAACAACGAGAATTCAAAGTGAAAGTGGTGCTCTTAATAATTGCTTAGTGCATGGATGTAGCTGAAGCTGCTGGAGGCAAGTGGGCCTGTCCTCATCCTGCCATCCTTACCCTTCCCTTCTCAGGAGCTCGGGGAGACCGCCCTTCATCTTGCCGTCCGAACTGCAGACCAGACATCTCTCCATTTAGTTGACTTCCTTGTACAAAACTGGTATGGCTTTTGCTTTCTCTGTTGAATTTATATGACTTACGCAGTAGCACAAATGGGTCCTGTTGGTGGCCTCGATCAGGACTGAGCAAGCTTTTTCTTTAACAAGTCAGATAATAAAAATTTGAGGCTTTGCAAGCCATGAGGTCTCTATTGCAGCTGTTCGCTTCAGCCATTGTGGATTGAAAGCAGCCAGAGACAGCATGTAAATGAGCGAGCGTGGCTGTGTTCCAGGAAAACTTCATTTACAAAAACTGGGGATGGGCCAGATATGTTCTACAGGCTATAGTTTGCCAATCGCTGGCCTTGATAAATGTAAAATCCCGTCTCTGTGTCCAGAAACCTGCTGCACGAGGACAAGTCGAAAGAAGGCGTAACAGCAAGGCCAGCCATGTTTTGTGAGTTTTCATTGTTCCTAAGCTCAGCGTAAGGCAGCAGTGTGTGTGGCTGGATCATGGTTCATTCAAATTAGGGACACACTGGTAGGAGTGTAACACCAAACGCAGGAGGTTGGTATCTGCTAAATTCTTTATTGGGCTGCTCTGTAAGCAGCAGACGAGAGGAGGAGCTGGAGCTCATCCAGAGGGAATCATCGAATGGGAAGAATGGTGCGTGGACAGGAGCCAAGTGGTGTAAATGCCCAGGCTTCCTCCTCAGAGGTAGCAGTGCAGTGGCAGAGAATGTAGTCTCCAGACAAGTCCCCCTGTCCACGTCCCCACTTGCCTGTCCCTGTCTTGGTAGTCGTGAAAACAAGCACGTAGCCTCTGTGCACCTTGGTTTTTTCATCTGTGCAATAGAAGCTATGAATAGTACTCATCAAGTGGGTGTGAAGATTACGTGTGCCATACCTGGAAAAGCTAAGAGAGTGTCTGTCCCACGGGAGGCACTCAGTAAGTGCCCACCATTCCTATCAGTATGTTATGGACAAAGTTAGGTGTAATTAGGAACATGATTTTCCCTGTCAACAATAAGGGCGCATATTTGAGTCAGTTATTAACACAGAAAAATGTAATTATAAGGCTAAGCCTGGTGGCACATGCCTCCTGTCCCAGCTGCTCGAGAGGCTAAGGTTGGAGAATCACAAGTACCAGGCCAGCCTGCACAACATGGACAACATAGTTTGGCTCTGTATTTAAAAAAAAAAAAAAAAAAAAAACCACAGAAATGAGCAATTACAGTGTTAGTTTCCCCTTAATCTGCAGTTTTGCTTTCTGAGTTGTCAGTTACCCATGGTCATCCATGGTCTGAAAATTCTAAAAATCAATAATTCAGAAGTTTTCAGTAACTTTCATTACAGTCTACTGTTGTTATTACTTTGTCATTGTTAATCTCTTTCTGTGCCTGATTTATAAATTACACTTTATCCACAGGCATGTGTATATATGGAAAAAAACACAGTCTCTATAGGGTTTAGTACAGTTTGTAGTTCAGGAATCTGCAGAATTCCTGAAATGCAGGTACATATCTCCCACAAAAGAGGGAGGAACTACTGTGGCACACGGTTTAAGTTGTAGAGGAAGTCAGTTCTTCCAACAATGTTGTAATTTTTCAGTGGGAACCTGGATAAGCAGACGTCCCTGGGAAATACGGTTCTGCACTATTGCAGCATGTACGGCAAGCCCGAGTGCCTGAAGCTGCTGCTGAGGAGCAAGCCCACTGTGGACATCGGTAAGCCTGCCTCGGAGTCTCTTGGTAGCCATTCTCTGAACATTTCTCCAGCAGGACTGAGACTTATATGGTACTTCAGTTATTGTTCCTTGACTTTCAAGATGTGTCCTAGATGATCATGTAATTTATTTTTCCCCATATTTCAGTTAACCAAGCTGGAGAAACTGCCTTGGACATAGCAAAGAGACTCAAAGCTTCCCAGTGCGAAGATCTGGTGAGCAAAAAAAAGGAATGGGAGATTTTTTTAGACATCAGCCGCCTTGAAAGTGTCATTTTGAGAAAGTGGAATTGGAGATAAAGGAAGCAGATTCATTCCTTTAAACGTTTGCTAAAGAAATTCAGACAAGCACTAAGCTGCATTTGAAAAAGTGGTAAAATGACAAACTTGTCATCTGCATGTCTTTTGGATGCAGTCGTGACGTGGGAGTGAGAGGCTTTGGGGAGGTGTCGGTGCCAGCTAGGGTTGAGGATGAGGCCGTGTCCGTTAGGCTTGCTCTGCAGCTAACAGTGAAGAATTGTAGGGAAGCCACTTTCAAAGCTGGCAGGTAAAGCCCAGTGTGCTGGTTCTCAGGCGCTGAGCACACAGCTCTCCCAGCTCCCCAACCCACGCTGCATGCTCGCCTTCGGACCCCACTAGCTCTTGCTTCATACCCTGGGCCTTCATGTTACTATGGTCAGCATGCACTCCTGACCATAGTGACTCAGTCTGTGTCTCTGTTGCTATCAGCACAGTACCAAAGACTTAGTAGTTACCAAGAAAATAGATTTTTTTTTCAGTTCTTGGATCTGGTTCAGGTCCAGGGGCCACATCTTATGGTGACCTTTTTGCTGGTATAGCACATTACATGAGAGACTGGGAGCACGTGTGTCATCTCCCTCTTCTTCCAAAGCCATCAGTATTCAGTCTTAGGGTTCCACCTCAATGAGCTTCTTAATCTCAGTCACCTCCCGGAGCCCCCCACCTCTAAACATTATTATGATTGGATTCAGTCTCCACCCGCTTAATACCTCACCATGTGGATTGGATTCTAGCAGGGGTTCCAGAGGGGACAAACTGTGTTCACACTGTGGCTCATGGGAAAGGGAGAGAGAGGAAAGAAGAAGGCATTTTCCCTCAAATTTTCTGCTGAGTGCCAGGTTCCAGGCCTCACAGTTGTATTTTTTTTTTTATTCTTAAAAGGACCCTTTAAGACAGTTATCCTTACCCACATTTTATAAATAAGAAATGACATGCCAATAATCCCAGTTACTCTGGACACTGAGGCAGGAGGGTTGCGAGTTTAAGGCCAACCTGGGTAACTTAGACCCCATCTGAATATTTAAAAAGAACTTCGATATAGCTCGTGGCAGAGCACTTGACTGGGTTCAGTCCCCAGTACCAAAAATAAATAAAGACCCTGGGCTGGGACTTTGTAAAGGCTTCTCTCTTAAACTTGACAGACTCCTGATTTTGTTTTCCAGCCAGGAATTTGCTGTTCTGAGGCTTATTTTAATAACGTTAAAAATGCTTTTAGTTTTGGAGAAAGGCTCTGCCTGCAGTTCTCTGCAATCCCCCAAGCCCGTCACATCCAGTCCAGCCTGTCCTATCAGAATTGTGCCTACAGTGCAGCTACCCCTGATTCATTCGAAGCCAGGAATATGGTGTGGTTTGCTCAGTGTTTGTGTGACGTTGGCATGTTTTGGCCTTTCAATTGAAATGGTGTGCACTTGCTGTTACTTCCAGCTTTCCCAGGCTAAATCTGGAAAGTTCAACCCCCACGTCCACGTAGAGTACGAATGGAACCTTCGACAGGAGGAGATCGATGAAAGCGATGATGATCTGGATGACAAAGTAAGTGTCGGGTGTCCCTGAGCCTCACCTTCCTCTGGATTTTGACCCTGACTGACAGTGGTCTTGTTTTGTGAGTTAATTTTGTTAATTTTGGTCTTATGACCTGATGTGCCAGATGTTGCTTGGTCTTGGATCCCTGTTGGTTGGGTACCACTTAACAGCTATAATCAGTCAGGTCCTGCTAGGAAACAGTAAGATGGAGAGAGAGATGTGCTTCAAGGAAGGGGTTCACATGATTGTGGGAGCTGGCAGCAGGCAGGAGACCCCAGAAGGATTTGATGCAGCAGCATTGAGGCTGAAGGCAGTTGGGAGGCAGAATTCCTTGTTCTTCAGGGACCAGTCTTGACTTTACCCCTCAAGTCACTGGTTGAAGCCCACGTGCCTTCTGGAGGGTAGTCCAAAACCTGCCGGCATAAACACATCTAAAAACTTACCTACACAGCAACATCTAGACTGGTGTTTGACCAAACATTGGGATACCATAGCCTAGCCAAGGTGACACATCAAATTAACCTTCAAAACAGCTAATGGGTGTGTACTAACAGTTGTCATTCATGAAATACTTAAATGAGCCTAGGCTATGTTAAGTATGTATATTGTTGTTGTCTCCATTTTACAGAAGAGAACACTGTTCACAAAGAAAACTGAGCACCTTGTCTGAAGTCTTATAACTCATGAATGTGGTCTCAGGATGAAACCAGTTCCCTGGGCCCCTTGTGGGTAGTTCTTAACCAGCTCAGAAAGTTCATTCCTATGTTTATTCATCAGATATATGCTGGGCACTCCCTCTGTGCCAGGCAGGATACAAGGAATGTCAAAGAGAGATCCTAAAGCCATTCACCACTTCAAGGGGAGATCAGTTATTACACAATGTGACAACTTTTAATGAGAGTTTGGGGAAATTCTAAAAACATGTTTATTCATTTGCTCATTGTTGTGAGGCTGTCTTAGAGCACAGGAACCTGGTGACCACCTGCAGCACCTGCAGAGGTGTCCTCCCTGAGCCTAAGGACAACCCTTGGTTATCATCTCACCCACTGTTGTTTCATCTACCAGCCGAGCCCCATCAAGAAAGAGCGCTCGCCCAGACCCCAGAGCTTCTGCCACTCCTCCAGCATCTCCCCACAGGACAAGCTGTCACTGCCAGGTTTCAGCACCCCGCGGGACAAGCAGCGGCTCTCCTACGGGGCCTTCACCAACCAGATTTTTGCCTCCACGAGCACAGACTCGCCCACGTCTCCAACTGCAGAGGCTCCACCTCTGCCTCCTAGGAATGCCGGGAAAGGTACGGGCTTGGTAGCTCCATCCTCAGAGCCGGTAGTCTGCCCCGCTTTGGTAAGAATTCAAGGTACACCTGAGGGGCCAAGGATGAATGTGTTGTGAAAGACGGCTTGAAGTACGCACCTTGCCATCTGCCCAGCGCCGTCAGCAGGACAGGCAGAGTGGTGGGACTGTACACACATTGTCTGAGGTTAGCCTCACAAGAGTCCTGTGAAGTATGTGCTTTTGTGCCTCTTTTACAGAAGAGGGAAATATAGCTCAAAGAGCTAGAGTAACAGTCTGAGGGTTAGGGCTAGGGTTAGGGTGACACAGGCAGTTAAGTGGTAAGATTGAGATTCAGTCTGAGATCTGCATGGCCTCAAAACCTGGGCTGTTTGTAATATGGGATGAAATTTTGGTTTGCTTGATACTTCTCTCTGCACTGAGCTGGTCCTGCGTGGAAGATGCTACTCTAGTGTAGTAATAATAGTGCTGGTTAACAGGATGCACTTTTCTTTGAAAAGCTCTCAGCCACACGTGCCTTGTCCCATGGTCTCAAGATAGGCACTGTAGACACTGACATTGTGCAGACAAGGGTGCTGAGGTTCAGAAATGCTGAGCAACTGTCCTGAGGTTCTCAGCTACTTGGACTCTAACCCAGGTACTGTGTGACCAAAACCTATATTCCTGTACACTCTGAAGAGGATGTTTTTCCCCGGGATGCTACCTGGAAAGGAATCTTCCCTGGAACAGTGTTTTTGTACTCCTTATCAAGTACTCACAGGACTGGCATCTTGGGCTAATGGTCCAGCGTCCTACTCTGTAACAATGGAGTTCTTATCCTTATCCTCTGACCGTGAAGTGTTCCCTGCTCAGAAAGTCAATGTGCCCACCTGCATAGGGACAAGTTGAGGCACAGAAATGCCAACAAAGAGTCACCCGAGCCAAGGGAATTGTTGAGGTACCCAGAGCTGCAATTCCCAGTTTGACCTCTGCCAAAACCACCAAATGCAGGATTCTCCCTGCGCTCAGCCTGTGCTAGCACAGGTTTTGAGGGCTCTCGGTACACAATGCCCTGCCTATTTGAATCACACAGAGGCTGTTTTCTGAAATGTGAGCTTTATTCAAAACTGTTTCTCAGAGCTTATTCTTCATTGAAAGAGTATTATAAATGAGAGCTGTGTTCCTAGGGAGACCCCAAATGGCCTCATAGATCATAAAATAATGGAGAAAAGTTAAAATAAGGCTTTGGAATGAATACTTCTCATCAAAGAGGACCAGTAGCCGTAGCAGTAGTAGCACATGTAAGCCAAAGACGCAGGGGACAGAGTTCCCTGCAGTGTGTACTCTGTGCTGGAACACAGTCTTACACCCCCGCATCCAGCTGCAGGTGTGTCGGGCGAGTGCCCTGCCACTGCCTCCCTTGGGTAATGATGTGCCCCATCAGGGTACCATCTGACCGTAGCAGAGACTCCCTCTCTGCAACCTAAAGAGGACTGTGAAAACCTCCAAACCAAATAGTGATGGGGGAAGTGAGTCTGACATAGTTCACGTCCCCTAGTTGTGGTTGCTGATGGCATGATGGCCTATCTGGTCAGACGGGACCTGTACCTATTCACACAGCATCCAGGTCACTGAGAATCTGGAATCTGGGCTACAGAAAAGTAAAGTCCTGGGCTGGGGATGTGGCTCAAGTGGTAGCGTGCTCGCCTGGCATGCCTGCGCCCTGGGTTCGATCCTCAGCACCACATACCAACAAAGATGTTGTGTCCGCCGAGAACTAAAAAATAAATATTAAAAAAAAAAAAAAAAGAAAAGTAAAGTCCTGGGGACCCATAGACCCCCACCTTCTCCCACTCCCTTCTGTAATTTTGTCTCAAGGGCACAGAGAAACCCATAAAATACACTCTCTGGCTCAGTGCCAAGCATCTCTTGCCTGCCTTGAATAAATTCTAACAAGTCCTCTACCAGCAACCCAGAAGACAAAGACTAAATTTATTTAGTGATTCAGCTGCTGAAACAAGAGCTTAGAGACTTGGCCATAGCAACCGTGGTCAGCTAAGGACAGACTGCTCATCCCTCCCCCTCCAAAAAAGGCCCACGATCGAGTGTGGAACCCCTTCCTGTTGTTGGGAGCACGTTCCTCCTGGCTGTGGGTAGCAGGACATGAGGTTTGGGCTGTCTGCTGGTAATTCGTGAGGAGTGCAGCTTTCTCATGTCTTCTACGAGGACCTGCAGCGTGGCTCTCCTGTGGCTAGGAAACTGGTCGTGTCTAGAGTGGAGTTCCAAGGAGACGTGGGTGAAGACAGATGGTGCTCTGTGCGCACATGGTTCTGTTTTACAGCCCAGTGTGTCCTTCGCCTCGTCCTGCTCACTGATGGAAGCACTGGCGAGGCTGCGCTCACTCTCCGTGGCAAGGAAGCTGTGGTCCTCTGCAGCACAGGTCACCTCCCTGTGAACTTAGGGATCGGAGGGGTAACAGCTTCCAGTGAGACAGAAACAGACCCTGGTGACAAAGTCCCCACAAATGAGAGAAGTACATAGGGGAGCAGTAGAAAGAATTCTCCTGAACCCAGGTCAGGAATATTTTCAAGAAATTCCAGCTGCCTCAAAATTCAGAGAAGTTTGACCTAAACTACCACAAGCAAAGGCCCCTTGTGCTTGAGCAGTGCTCCCATAAGTCTCAGAAGAACTCGGCCATTCAGAACCCCAAAGTCACCTTCCTTAAGCCACCTGCAGCCATGATTTGCTACCTAACCCCTCTTTCAGAGGTGAGGTACAGAGAGAGTAGAGGAAAGCTATAGAATGGCGTGCACTGGTGTCTCCGCTCCTGTGAGCCGCTCTCTCCTGCCCCATGCCTTATGTTTAAAAAAAAAAATCCTTAAATTAAAATTATGTGTGGAATTTAGATTTTTTTTTTTTTTTTTTTTTAGAGCTATAAGAATGCGACAAGAATGCCTACACAGTCGGCATCCTATTAGATAAGGAAACTGAGCCCTGGAATGGTTAAGGAATTCACCTCAGGTCACATGGAGGCTGAAATAGGATAGAAAATTTAACTGGATCTGTCAGACCAGATCTTGCAGTTTCTCCTTTCCTGTGTTGAGGAACATGGTCCATCTTTGTCTTACCTGCTTCACAGGGTTGTCATCAGACTCCAATTAGACAGGGCTGGAGTCGTAGCTCAGTGGTAGAGCACTGGTCTAGCACATGTCAGGCACTGGGTTCAATCCTCAGCACCACATAAAAATAAATAAAATAAAGGTATTGTGTCCATCTATAACTAAAAAAAAATTTAAATCCCAAGGGCCTGGGGATACAGCTCAGTAGGCAGAGTGCTTGCTTCACATGCACAAGGCCCTGGGATTCAATACCAAGCACACACACAAAAAAAGCATAGCTCTGCACTGCTCTGGAAAAATTTATATTTGGATTGTTGGGCTGTGGCAGTAGAGGTACCTGGCGTGGAAGGACATCGGGGACAGCACAGTGCCACAGGACCCATCTGCACACCAGGGACTTGGAGACATACATTGCCTGCGTATGTTTGGTTGATTTGTTGGTTGGGTTTAACTGTTTTTAATAACATTAAGCTTTAGAACTGTGGCTTTCTACCGTGGTTCAAGTTGGTGCCTTTTATGTAGCACCCGGAACCCCCGCCCCACTCTAGATCCAGCGGAGATAAGACGAGACGTGTATGAAACGTAGCTCAGCGCGTGGCACCTGGTGCTCCGTGAGGGGTTCCACTGCTGGCACTGGTACCTCTGCAACGCCACAGCTATTAGCAGGGAATCCTCACAGGTGCTCCAAATAGTGAGACCCACACTGTGTAGGCACTTCTGCTCCAAGAAAGGATTTGTTAAGTAAATGAAAAAATCTGATCCTAATAAACATAACGTACTTTAAAGGACTAACCTTTCAAGCTGTGGAGAGGGGAACAACTGATGTGCGAATTACAGTTCCCGCCTGTCGGCTGACAACCCCTCCTGGAGTCAGGCTCTGTGTGGCCTCTGGTGGCCTGTCAGTCAGCCCTGACAGCCAGCCCTGAATTGCTCACACGTTTTCTGAAATGTAGGCTTCCTGCCTCAAGCAGGCTCTAGCCTCGGTCTGATAAGCCAGCAGACCATCTGGCATGGTGCCCGGCATCATAGTAAAAGAATCGAGAGATAAACAAACCCTCTGAGGCGTCTGGGTCCATGTCAAGCCGGACACACTGCCTGGGCAGCTGTGAACGCGTGAGAAGCCTTCAGACTTCATCTTCTCTTCTTCCAAAAAGCTGCCTGTCCCTTGCCCCACAAAAAAAAAGACTATGATCCTTGTCCACCAGGGCAGTCCTGCCTCTGTGTGTCTCATCTAGCCTGAGAGATCCTGCTGAGTGTCAGTGTTCACCTGAAAAATAAGGATTCGGTGTCCAGCCTGCAGGGCCACTGCAGAGAGGACGCTGAGCACTCAACAAAGGGGAGTTTTCTCTGTCTCACCTCCTGTGTTCAGTGCAGTAAAAATTCCAGGGGCCAGAACATTAGAGGAGTGCAGAAGCTGGCACTCCTAGGAGAGAAATCCGTGGAATATGCCATCGGGCCAGTAGGGGGTGCTGCTTGCAGTTCTGAAGAGGGGCAAGGAAGCCCTCATGCCCTGTCCAGGTGAGGAGACAGAGCTCCTCCATGACAGGCCACAGGCTGCTGCCTTCACATGCAGAACGCAGAGCATTTGCCATCCATGTCCATGTTTAAAGCGTGAGTAACAAGAAGAATCAGTGAAGGCACGTCCCAAAAGTAGGTGGCCAGAGCAAGGAGAAGAAGCTAAGCTGTCTGTCCCAGAGAGTCGCCTTGCTGAAAGCCTGGGTGTGAAATGGCTGCAGCAGCTGTGCCCAGCAGCTGGGCCGGGATTCCCGCAGTGCTTCTCCCACTTTTCTCAGAGTTTCTAGCAGCAGTTACAGAGGTCAGGGGCCAGTGGAGCAGGCACATGCCTCAGCTCCCTGCAGGGGCCCGCCATGAGGAGAGTGCAGCCTGGGAATGCAGAGGCATTTGGGAAGTGTCCGGAGCATTAGTCCCATGGTAGTGACTCCACAGTTTCCTGGGAATTTTAATCTCCTTACTGCTGCCCATGGGCCGTCGACTTGGATTCGTATTGGATTTGTGTTTGGGGTTGTTCTGTTTTTGTCTTGGCCCTTGTCAGTTACCCCATCCTTTCTAAAAACTATTGCACACTAGTGACCTCGCCCCGGCTGAGAACATTGTGACTTTTGCCCTCAGCAGTGGCCACTGACTCAGGCCTTCTGAGTCTCCTGACCGCCAGGGTGTGTAGGGGACGCAGAGGAAATCCTGTTGTGCTTGCCTTCAGGAATGTGTGAGCAATTGTTAAAAGAACCCAGCCAAGGCCCTCGAATCTGAGACTTTCTCTTATCACTGGAGTCAGGCATTGTGTTGCCTCTTGGTGGCCTGTCAGTCAGCTCCGGTTGTCAGTCCGTCATAGAAGGAGACTGAAGGACAAATGAGTACTGGTGCTGTTTTCTGTGTAGAGATGGGCCAGCAGTGGTGTGCTCTCAGGCACAGGCACCCCTCTGCCATGCTGGAACTGGCTGGCCCTGTCACTGACTGACTGACGTGTCCCAGCGCTCACCTTGGAACATGAACATGGTAACCACATGTTCTACACAGTCCTTCTCTCCACAAAGGCACAGTACTGTGTCTTTATCTACTTAAGTATTGAACGTGAATTTTAAGCTATTTTAAACTCCATACTATGAAAGCCTTTATAGTTGGAGGAATAAGTTTGACAGATCTGTCGTACCGTGTGGTTAACAATGACATTGCATTCTTTTTTTATGTATTTTTTTTAGTTGTAGTTACATAATACCTTTATTTTATTTATTTTTACGTGGTGCTGAGGATCGAACCCAGGGCCTTGCACGTGGTAGGTGCGCTCTCTATCACTGAGCCACAACCCCAGCCCACATATTGCATTCTTGAGAATTGCTGAGAGAGTTGGTTCTCACCACAAAGAAATGATGAGCATGTGAGGGCCACAAGTAAATTAGTTCAATTCAGCCATTCCACAGTGTATACATATTTCCCACCAGTTTATTGTACACAAAAAAATACAATATTTATTTGTCAATTAAAAAAAACCATTAGAAAAGATGATAAAATTTTTATTCACGTTACCCTGAGTTGTGTAGATGTAACTTCTGTCATCACCCCTCTTTGTGTGGCATGCTAAAATATGTAAATCATACTTCTACAGACAAGTTTTTAAAGAACTGTCAAGATAATTTTTCAAGCTGTCTTCTAGTGTTGGCTTTTCTCTTAGAAATTTTAAAGACACTTTCTTTGGCCTCCCAGTGTGGAAGGCCTCAGGGTTCTCTGCCTTACTAAAAACTGGACGCACAAGATGTTGGAACAGCATCCTGCTCACTTGCACTTGAATTATTTCCAGAGACGTGAGTTGTGCCCAGCATGTGCCAGGTGCAATCACTGGGAGATGGGGAGACAGACAGAAGGGAAATGATCTCCAATGTTAGGCAGAGAAAGTCTAGTGTCTTTAAGGCTTGTGGAAGTTCAGAGATAGAAGTGCCCTAGGGGTTGGGTGGGTTAAAGAAAGACCCTGGATAGGGTCACATCTGAGCTGACCATTAAAAGATGAGGATAAGCGGTGAAGAGAGAGTGTAGTTATGTCTGAGTGTTCTAGCCAGAGAGGACATGGCTCCATTCAGAGAGGAACAGGCTGGCTGTCCTTGAGTCCAACAGAGCAGAGTTCTACCTGGAACTTACTGTGTCTGACCAAGTTTCTGGACTCTCTGAGGCTGGGTTCTGCTTGGCTTGTGGTGACTGGACAACTCTGGGGCGTGAATACCTCCTGAGGTCACGCACACAGCTGCATTCGTATTTTGTCTGGCAGTTTTTTCCCAGCCAAGATTTGAAATCTGATGAGTGACTTTTCAGATGCATTGCTTTTCAAAGTCCCTAGGTGGTGCTAAAGTTGAGATTACTCTAGAATCTCACCATTGTCTATTATCTATTATGCATTTTTTTCCAAGAGGAAAGTTACACTTCCTGATACTGAACACTTGTTGTTGTTGTTTTCCTCGTGTGCCAAGTGCAGAAATGCTGCCTTGGCTTTGGGGAATTGACAGCAGGATGGGGTAAGCACCTCACCAGTTCCAGACACCTGTGTTGTCCCAGTTCCATCCCTCATGCCAAGCCCCGATTTTCTTAGCTGCAAAATTGGAACAGTACTGGATCCACTTACCTCACAGAGTTGTTATGAAAATGAAAAGGAAAAACAAGCATTTTGAAAACTACAGAGCATTATACTGGTGCACAACCTTAGTAACAGTTACTTTAGGGTTGTAAAATTAAAATAACCCCGCTGAGTGTGGTGGTGCACCCCTGTTATCCTGGTGACTCTGCAGGCCGAGGCAGGAGGATCACAAGTTCAAAGCCAGCTTGGGCAACTTATAGAGAGCCTATATCAAAACAAAAGTGAAAAGAATTATAGACATAGCTCAGTGGTAAAGTGCCAAAAAGAAAGTTTTGATCCCCAGTACCGAAAAGAAAGTTTCAGTAACTTGATGCCATATTAGGGCATTGATTTAGAGCAACCATAAGCCTTCCTTCTTGTATTATACCAGTAAGACAGAGAATGAATTACATAGTATGGCTATTTCATCCTATGCAGATCGTCATTTTATTGAGATAGCAGTATTTACTTTTAAGACTAGACTGTCTTCCTGTGAGTCAGTAATTTAGGTCAGTGTTAGTACTGACTAGTAATCAATAATGGGAAATTATCTAAATTTACTTTACCCAGTTTACCCAGGAGGGAGGCTAGAAGTAATTAAGCTTTTTTTTTTTTTTTTTTTTTTTTTGAATGCACAGAATGTAAAAAGCTCTTTCAGAGCCTTTCTGAATCACCAGGAATCTACTACCCTATGCTAAATGTTTGATGTGGCAGTGTTCCTAGCTTTTCCTTTTATTCCTTTTCTTTCTTTCTTTCCCTGAATGTTTGCAGAAGCAGTTGTCCATGGACATGGTTAAACCATTCACGTGGTAATATTGTGTAAAAAGAAAGAAGAATTTGTCCAAGTGCCCAGCAGGAAATGCTGACACACAGCAGCCTCTTCAGTGTCACTCTGACCAAACAAAACTCGGGACATATGTACTCCCCCCACAACTACATTTAAAAATGAAATCCACTACCTATTGTTCAGGCTTCCGATATAATAAATGGTTTATGATTTCTAAAACAATTCAGAATTGCAGCAAAAAATAAAAAAGAGTTTTGGGTTTTCAATCTTTGCCAGGTAACTTTACATCATTCATTTAGAAAAGGCCAAGGGTTTAGTTGATCCACTACTCTGCTCTTCCCCTGTTGATTTTGCTGGTAGTGCTGTGTGCCTTCCTCCTACCTAGATTTCGTGATGATTCCAGTGAGTTGTTGGTTTAAAATGTGTGTGTTTTATTTTTCCCATTGTACCTAAATAATGATCTAAACCCCTTAGCATCTGTGTTGACTAGCGTTTTGTTCCTTAAAAGCACACTCTCTCCTTTGTTGTAATTTTCTTTTTTTTTTTTAAACCAACAATTTCTTTTAAGTCCTGTTTTAAAGTTGGATTTAAAGATGTTGGACTGACGAACATGGTCAGATCAGCGTTTTGCTCGTCTTTGTGTGTCGCACCACATTTGGATGTGTGGGAGTGATTGCATACTGGTGTCCTGTGTCTGTGAGCCTGGGATTAACCTTCCTGCCCCCATTCAATTTCCTTTCTAGGTCCAACTGGCCCACCTTCAACACTCCCTCTAAGCACCCAGACCTCTAGTGGCAGCTCCACCCTTTCCAAGAAGAGGCCTCCTCCCCCACCACCCGGACACAAGAGAACCCTGTCCGACCCTCCCAGCCCACTACCTCACGGGCCCCCAAACAAAGGCGCAATTCCTTGGGGTAAGTTCTCCTGAAGTTAGGGCCAAAGCCGCCCAGGGCCAGGCAGAGCGTGGGGCTCCCCTGGCGATGGATAGCGCATTTAGAAAGCGGGCCACGTACTGGATGAGGGCTTGGATATGTGGGATTACTCCTGCCTCTAATGGCCGAGAAACACTTTGAAAATGTTTGGGGCCCTTAAATACTGCTAATAGCAGTCAGTATAGTTGTTCCTTACTATCACTGGGATTTTGGTTCCTGGACACACCTCCCTCTCCCAGGGATACCAAAATCTGCAGATGCTCGTGTTGCTTATATAAAATGGCATAGTATTTGCATATCACCTAAGCGCATATACTTTAAATCACTTCTAGATTACTTATAGTACCTAATACAATGTAATTTTTATTTAAAAAAAAAATTCTGGACATGTTCAGAACACTTAGGTTTTTCCTCGATATTTTTGGTTCACAGTTGTTTGCTTGAATCTAGGGAGCATTACTGCAGATGCAGAGGACCAACCGTGATAGTAATAAAGTGCCAAGCATATCCAAACTCTCATTCAGTCATAACAATGACCGTGTGGTGTAGGTGTTATTAATCTCACTTACAGAAGAGGAAGTAAAGGGCCAGAAAAGTAAAGGAGTCCTTTGCCTCAAAACAGCCAGAATGGTTTTCTTATAAAATGTGAATCAGATCATGGTCACTCTTTTCCTTAACACCTGTAAAGATTTCCTGTTGAGCTTCTGATAAAGGTGGACTCCTTGCACCAAGGCCTCCAGGGCCCTGCATGCTGGGGCTCTCACCTCTGCTCTGCCACTGGCCTGCCTCCACATCCTGGCTGCACTCTGGTCTTCCCCTCCTTAAGGCCCTTCCACTTCCTGGAGCTCTGTTCTGCTCCATGAAAGCCCAGCTCCCTTTCTCCCCCAGTTCTCAGCTTTCGTGTTTGTCTCCGTGGTTCTCCTCTCTGAAGGAGCAGATTTCTTCCCAAGCACCTGATCATAGTAGAGAAATAGTCTATTCACGTGTCTGTCTCCCCACTAGAATGTGTGCTCCACGGGAGCAGTGACCTTGTCTGTCTTGTTCTCACCTGTGTCTGCGTAGCCTGGAATCATGCCTGGTACACAGCGGATAGCCAGCAATCTCTTGAAAATGAATAGCCCTACTCAGAATCAGCAAGTGTAAACAGTTGAGTGACACTGATTGCAAATGTTTCCACAAGAAACATAATTTCAGAGCTGGGAATGTAGCTCAGTGGTGGAGCCCTTGCTAGCATGCACAAGGGCCTGGGTTTGATCTGCAGTATGGGCAAGGAGGGAACTGGAGGAGGAAGCAGCAGTGTAGATTCCATCCTCTCCTGCTAGCCTGCCTACGTTATAGGGTAGGCCCATCGCCCAGCAGGTCCTGGCCCACCCAGCGGTCAGGTGCTGCTGAATGAACATGCTACTCTACCTGTCTTACTTCTTCCTGCCAGTAACTTTCATTGTGGATTTTTTTTTTTTTTGCATTTTAATTGTTTTGCTAGCTAATAAGGAAGTCCTCTTAATGCTTTTAAAGCCTTTCTTAAAAGCCTACTTCAAGCGTTCTAGGTATTTGAATTTGGGGAAAAGCCATACCATCCACTTAAATAGGTTGGCACACCCATCCACCATCTGGCCCAGATGCCACAGAGAGGGGAGCGTGAGGGTGTGCAGTGTGCCTGAATATGTCTGTGTATTATCAGAGAAATATTTTCGACACAGCAGGGTTAATTAGGACACCTGCTTGGGCCTTCTCAGTCCATACGCTCATGGAGCCCAAGGCCCAGTGAGGGACCCCGAGGGGTGAACAGTTCTTGACTGTCAGGTACTCATGTAACCAAACACTGTGGAAATGCTGAGAAACAGTGTGTCTGTGTTCTGCGAGGGAAAGCAGAGAAGGCTTCACAGAGGAGGAGATGTTCGAGGCTGATGTTAACAAATCAGCTCCCGGGAGAAACGAGCAAGGCAGGAAGAGTGTGTGCAGGTGTGCAGGCCCCTGTGCATGGAAATACTAAGGATGTCCTGGACAGGTTAGAGGTGGCACCCCAAGGCCTTCAGGACCCTCCGATTTGTCAAACAGAATTACAAGTAACATTCCATCAGAAATCACACGTTTCCTGTGTAGACTTTCATATCACAGGTTAACCTTCTTTCTAAATTCCACCATACTTTGATCCTCTCGTTTGATTGGGTTTTATTCTCTGTGGTTTATATTCACTTCATAGGGACCCACGTGTTCCTCAAGAACATTAACCAAATTTGTTTTCTAGCTTGAAAAGCTGAACTTTGGTTTTTCCAGTTGCTCTTGGGATTGAGCCCAGGGAGACTGTACCCCTGAGCTCCCAGTCCTCCTGCCTCTGCTTCCCAGTCGCTGGGATTGGGCACCACTGCCGCCAGCTGGCGGTTCCTTTTTAGGATTCCTCCTCTGCTCTGAGCTCTCAGTGGCAGGACTAGGCCCCTGGCCTTTCTTCTTCATCTCCAGCAGAGGTGGAGTGGGGGCCTTTTTCACCAAGAAGCAAAGTTGCTGTGGCTGGATGAAAGTTACCACCTGCCTGGCAGTAGGCTGGGAGCTTCAGAGACCTGCAGATGGGCCTCTCAACCATCCACTGGGAGCCCCTTGCCGCCAGCCAGCCCCAGGACAAATCAGAGTCTGTCCTCAGGAAAAGAGATACTTCACATAACATAGCTCTAGTGATGACTCACACTCTCGAATATTCATTCCAGAATTACCAAGGCTGTATTTATGCGTGGCATGTGTGCACGTGTGGAAGACTTAGACAGGTGTGCAGACACAGACCTGTCAGTAGCCGGTGTGTGTGCTCACAGACACAGCTGGACTGCTCGCAGGTTGAACTCGCTCCAGTCCTGGCATTTGTGCCTCATGTCATGTGACTACTGCTTGGTGATCCTAACGCCTGTCTCCTGCTGATGCTGTGTTTCAGACGCCAAGGGCAGGGTCAGGCTGGGGGACAGTGAAGCATACAGGGTAGCAGCCTGCTAGGCACCTTCTCTCCCTGGAACCTGCATCTTCTTTCAGTGGGCCCATATTTCCTGGTCTTTTAGTTCCCCTGAACCTCCCATCTTTCTCAGCCCATGGAGGTGAGAGCCCTAGGACTGTCTGGGGAAAACGCCAGTGGAAGATGTGGTGGAGGAGCGGCCTATTGCTCTTGCAGCCTTGCACATCCACCCAGAGCAGGCCGTGTCTGCCATCCTGCAGCCGAGCAGGCTCCCAGACTGCATCCTTCCTCTCGATCTGTGCCCTCAGCCTAGGATCTTCTTACCTCTGCTCCTTTGTGCTTCGTCATCCCTTAAGCCCTGCTTTCCTGGGATCTGCTTAACAAGGCCTGGCCCAGCCACCCCACATGCGCCCACTCTGTGTGCCTCAGGCACAGCGGCTTCCCGTGGTTCTATGCCTCTCCTCCTTTCCCAGGCATGAACGTCTTGTAAGGGTATGTGCTGCTGGGCTCAGGAGAGCCCCCCATGTGGATGCTAGGGTCATATTACCTACATCTAATGCCGTCTCTGCCACCTAGTAGCCATGTGGCTTTAGCAGGTGTCTTTGAATTATCCTGTGCCTCAGTTTTTTCATTCATTAACTGGGGCTAGTCATTATACCTATAGTTTACAGAATATTCTCATGAAATTTAAGTAAGAGATACATGAAGCAGAGGATCCAGGACATAGGAAGCTCTCAGTAAATGCTATCTAATGTTACTCTCAGTAGCAACATTTTGTTACTGAGATGGCTAGTTGGTAGACTGTCACTTGTATCAGAAACCTGTATTAACATCCTGAGGATATTGTAGCACAAGCCACAAGCTTGGTGTCTTACAGCACCAGATCTATCAGTTCTATAGTCTACAAGTCTGAAATTCTGCACAACTGCACTTCCTCCAGAGGGTCTAGAGAAGTTCCTCTTCCCTGCCCCTCTCAGCTGTGGGTGCCTCCCAGTGTTCCTGGGTTATGACGCACACCGCTCCTCCCGCTGCCTCACATGGGCACCTCGCCACCTGCTCTGCTCTGAAAGCTCCCTTTGCCTGTCTTGGAAGGATACCTGATACTGTGTTTAGGGCTTGCCTGAATTCCTGTGATAGTCACTTCATCTCAAGAGCTTTAACTTAATGATTGTGACATAGATGCTTTTTCCTAGTAGTTCATATCTGCAAGTTCCGAGAGTTAGGACTTAATATGTTCAGGTGGCCATTTCAACCTATCCTCGTTTATTCTTTAGACCCCAAAGATTCACATCCATCCCACATGCAGAACACATTCCAGTGTGCCCAGAAGTCTCACCACCCTCTCGGCCCTCGTTCTTTTTAGTTCTCAGTGAACATGCCAGCCAGGGTTATGGCCAGCACTGAGCCACCCACCCCTTCCTGCAGCACAGTGGTCTCTTCCCTCGGCCAAGAACAAGTTTCCACCTGTCACTTTCTGAAGCTTGTACACTTGGTGGGTTCTCCTGCCACAGTCCTGTTTCAGGACTCGGGCATCTCTGGATTCTGACTCTGTGGAGCCCCTGTAGCTACCAGGCCCTGCCTCCACCGATGTCCTCATGCTTTGCCCAGCCCTCCATGCTGTACTTTATACAGGAAGGAGAATAGGCACAGTGGCACACACCTGTAATTCCAGCTATTCAGGAGGTGGGGTAGGAGGATTGCAAGTTGCATAGCTAGCCTGGACAACTTAGAGACCCTGTCTCAAAACAAAAAGGTGGGCTGGAGATGTCGCCCAGTGGCAGAGAGCTTGCCTTGCACTGTGAGGCACTGGGTCAATCTTCAGCATCACATAAAAGTAAATAAAGGCATTCTGTCCATTGAAAACTACCAAAAAATACACACAAAGGTCTGCTGGGCACCGTGGCACACGCCTATAATCCCAGCAGCTCAGGAGGTAGAGGCAGGAGAATCATGAGTTCAAAGCCAGCCTCAGCAAAAGCGAGGTGCTGTACAAAATAGGGCTGGGGATATGGCTCAGTGGTTGAGTGCCCCTGAATTCAATCCCTGGTATCCCACAAAAAGGGGAGGGGTCTGGGGATGTAGCTCAGTGGTAGAGCAGTTGTGTAGCATGTGTAAGGCCCTAGGTTTAATCCCTAATATTGCAAAAAAGGGCTGGGGGCATAACTCAATTGCAGAGCACCCCAGAGTTCCATCCCCAGAACAAAAAAAAAAAAAAGAGGAGGTGGTGGAGCTTGAGTTTGTGCTTGCAGCATGAGGGGAGTAGCCTGGAGGAGATAAGCAGGCATTTGATGTTGAGACTCTTGCAAGGATGAGGGCCAAGAGAGTAGCCTTAATGCATCTATTTCATGAAAGGCCACTTACAGAGACACTGTCCTTCTACCCCTCAAAACCATTTTCTGCCTTCTTCAATTCTTAATGCAGGTTTATGGTGTCATTACCTAGATAAACAATTGCACATGTGAATTTTTAAAGCTGGCTCTTGCTCGTGGAGTGCCGGGCATTGTTGAGCACCCTGCATGCAGGAGGTTGTGCTGGTACCTGGGCTGTGAGGACAGGAGGCTCCGGAAGGTTACGCAGCTTGCCCCAGTTCTCACAGCTTGTGCCTGGGGGCCAGGGGTGGTCTGAGCCTGAGTGGCTGAGAACCCACGCTCCTCACGCTCCCCACCCACTGCCTTCTGCACAGGACAGCTCTGGGCTCAAAAAGCAGGTGAGTGAGACTCCTCACTGTCCCCCTCTCAATAGTCATTTCTGTACCTGTGAAGAGAAGGTGCTCACTTAGCCCAGGGAGTCCAGCAAGCAGTGAGTGCTCTGTGGGCTGAGCCCCGCTGTCCATCTGCAGCAAGCACAGCTCCAGCCTGGCCCGGGCAGGAAGGGCCACTCCAGGACTCTCTGCCAGAACTGCACCATCCACGGCACCCAGAGCAGCCCAGGCACCGCTTTGCAGAATCCCCACTTCTGTGATAAATGGGGCCATCTGTGTCCAGAGACGTCCAGGGCAGTCTTGATAAGGAAGCAAATAGAACAATGGGCGGGTTTGAGTCTTGTGGGGGCTTTAGGATCTTTGAAGTGGCACTTCATTATACCTCCTCCTGTTTTATAAAGAACCTACTTTAAAACAGACCAGCTCATATTTTAATACAATTGAAAAAATAAGGAAATGAGAGGAAAGAGAAGGGGAAAAGATAGCAAAGTAAGATGTAGTACAGGAGGAGTGTGATCTCTAAAATCCCTAACATGAGGTCGCATACCATGGCTGAGAGTGGACCCCAGATTTTACTCTAGGGGTCTCACAGGAATAAACAAAGGAAAAATGCAACGAATCATCTGGTGTGTGATTGATAGGCATAGGATTGATCCTGTTCTTGCACTTGAGATTCCTAAAGTTAATGTCTCAGGGCAGTTCCTCCTGGGACCCATCAACATTTAGAGAAATGTCTGCAGTGTGGGTCATGGGAGGCCATCTGTGCACTGGATGAACATTCTGGAAGCCCAAGTTCTGATCTCAGTTCCACCATTCCACGCCTAAGTGACCTCTGGGAATCACTAACATTCCTTACCTTTGGCCACTGGGATTTAAAATTATCTGTTATTATCCTAAAAGATAAGGGACTCTCGTTGCCCCAGTTCACCAATGAGGAAAATGAAGCAGAGAAGTTGCTTAAAGTCACGAATCCAGAAACTTCAGAACTGGGATTTGAACCCATTTCTGACTCCAGGCCTGTCTACTAGTCCCTCATTTTAGAATACTCCTGGGTCCTCCCTGGGCCAAGTCCTCCAGGCCATTCACTGCTGGGCTAATGTCCTCTGCCTTTCCCACAAATTCCCATCCTGCCGCTTCTGAGCTGTATAGTAAGTGACCAGGAGTCTTGGCTACAAGGTCTCCAGTTGTCCAGCCATGGCCTCCTCCAGGTCTCTCCTGCACACACCTGTGCGATCCACCCACAGCCTTTTCCAGGTTGCACGGAGAAAGAAAAAAGGACTGAGCTGCCGCCATCATTTTTGCTCCTCTTCCTTTTAGTGCTGTCTTATTTTTAGGAGTGTTTCTAAGCCAGGCTTTTCTTCTGGGCACAGCAGGTGGCCTTTGCCTAGGTGTGAGATTCACCAAGAGTGGAAGGGGACAGAAAGAAAAGGAAGAGCAGAGCTACGGCGGCATCAAAACAGTGTCTTTGAAGAGTGGCACGTCATCTTGAGTGGCCAGAAAGGAAGATTAAATGAGGACTCGGCACGTGGGACCAGGCAATGCCATGATAACTCACCTATGTGACTTCAGAGAGAAGGACAGCAGTAGAGCCAAGGGGTTCAGCCTGCTGGTCTCCAAGTCACTCGTGCCTGTCCCATGTGAAAAAGTGAATTAATAGCCATTGTTTGAAGTGTTTCCACCTGCAGAGGGAATCCATGGATGTGACATTTTAATTGTCATTTAGGGCTCATTTCAGTCTGAAAGGGTAGGATTTGACATCCAGGACTGTAGACTCAGTACTGAGCATGATGCTGGGAGAGGGGGGGTGCAGGGGAGAAAGCCTACCTTAAAGCAATCAGTTCAGATTTTACAAGAGATCCCAAAGAAGTCCTCCATTATCACATTACAGGCTCATGGATACACTGATGGTTAGCAGTATCTTATCAAAGTTAAACAGCACTGGTTTGAAAGTCTTTGATGCTGGCAATGCAGTTGAACTTACGTCTTTGTGTATAGATACTCTAGAATCAGGGACATTCCCTTCAAGAGGCCCCAGCACCGCCAAGCCCTCCTGGTTGAACAGGTTCTGTAGGCCTGGGAGGGTGGAGGGTGGGGTTTAGAGTGCAGACCTGGAGGTGGTCTCCCTGGCTCTGCCCTGCTACTTCACCTTGGTCAATTTTGCTTCTCTCTATGGTTCACCAAGTGTAAAAGAGAGAGGGTGATTATATTACTTCTCATGGGCATGATTACCTTGCGACACTTGGTATATTGCCTTGCTCACAGTAAGTTCTCAATAGTTTCTGTGATTAATGTTACCATTGAGGCATCATGAAGGGTGGCAAAGAGCACATAGATTTGTGGTCAGGACTCCAGGGCATTTTGAGATAGGGTCTCATAAGTTGCTGATGCTGGCCTCAATCTTCGAATCCTCCTACCTCAGCCTCCTGAGTTGCTGGGATTATAGATATGCGTCAGCAAGCCACTTTTATTCTAACTGGTCTTTGACTTCCGCTGGGCAGAAGCACACTTACGTTCACCTGCGGGGCTCTGGTTTTGCCACTCCCCACGAGGGAGTTCATGTGCCATGACCTCCAAGGCGGACAGTCCCTGCCCACCCCTGCCTCTTAGGCGCAGACACCATTTCCTCTGGATTTTCACAGTAGCCAACCTGACTGTCTTTGTTTCATCCTGCGTTAATAGTTGCCACCCACGAGGCTCCCAGGAGCAGTGGCATTTTATGTGCCTCCGTGCCCACACTTCACACTCATGCTTTGCATATAGTAGGTGCTTAAGAAATGTTAAAATATGGATGAATGACAAGTCAGTGGCTCAGGGCCATGACTGTCATCAGCACCCTCCTTGTTGTGTCCACGTGTGCCCAGAGTGTGGGGGTCGAGTGAGTCATCTGAGTGTGGTTACCAGGGGCAACCTCTACGTGAACTTGACACTTTACTGTTTTCTCCCTGTGCCCCCAGTCCGAGGCCAGGATCTGAGCCAATGGGCCACCAGGTCCTGTGCTCTTAGAGGCGTTGTCAAGAACCAGGCTGCTCCACTGTGACGTGCTCCTCACTCGTAATGAAAACCCCAACCCAAACAGTGCTTCATTTTGTTTTGTTTTAATGCCCCAAACGCACACAGCCAGAAGGCTGAGGTCTCTGAGATACCTTTCTGGAACCTCAGGGATCCCACCTGTTTGCAGAAACCGTACATCCCCTCGTCACGTTTCGCTATCTATCTGATTTCCCTCGTAGGTAACGATGTGGGTCCGTCATCTTCGAGTAAGACCGCGAACAAGTTTGAGGGGCTGTCTCAGCAATCCAGGTAAGCCCCCTGCGCTCCTCCTGGTTGGGCTCAGGCTTGCGATGGGCAGGATTCTGCAGGTGGCTGTGGCTGTGTTCCCAGGGCCACTCAAGGTGTGGTCATTGGCAGGTGGCTCAGGAGGAGAGGCTGGGCGTCCACTCTAGGGGCATCCTGTCCTGCATGGGGCACTCCATCCACGGGCAGCGCAGCCTCGTGGCCCTGAGGTCAGAGTCAGAGGAGGGTCTGTGACGGCGCTCCTGCCAGACGAGCTTTACTGTTGCTTCTGATGTTTTAATTCTGTGACTTTGTTATGTCCCCCTCCACCTGTTCACAGACTTGGAAATTGGAAAGGATTCTCCTCAGGGAAATCTGAAGCCAGAGCTTCTCAAACACACAACCTCTTTCTAGATTGGCTGTTTAAGATTTTTGTGGGTGGGGCTAACCCTGGTGTTCCTTTCTTCCCGCCTTTCCCTGAAGGGGGACAGCTAAAGGCCATACTGTTTATCCAGCCTACCCCAAAGGGTTTTCTCTGCACCCCAAATATCAGACACAAAGAACCACTTCCAGACCCTCAGGAGAAAGAATCAGCTGGTGTGCCAGGGCCATTTTGCAGTGTTTATCAAAGGAAAAAACGAAACCCCTTTCCTCTTAATGCTGCCGTAACATTGGACCCAATCACCATTATCCTCAGCTTCACAGATGAGGAGACTGAGGTTCAGAGCAGCATGAATATCAGAGCTGGCTGGTTCCATACCCTGCTCCCAACTTTATCCTCACTTGGTCCTCCTCCACCCCTGCTCGGGGGGCCAGAGAGGGGAGGGTGGCACAGAGAAAGCACTTGCAATGGCCAGGCGGGGTTGCCCTCCAGGCCGCAGGGTGGGAGGATTGCCAGGGAGCTGCAGGGGGGCAGTAGGACCCCGGTATGCAGGGGCCGAGTCAAAGGAACAAGTGCCTCGTCCTCTTCTCCTTGACTCGGTTGCTTGGTTGGAAGGCTTGGCCTTTTTTTTTTTTTCCTTTCAATGCAGTTAGGACAGCAGGAAGAGAAAGCAGCCGGTCAGAGGCCAAGAAGGGGGCATGAGATCAGGAAAAGGTCCTCAGCAAGGGCCGCTCAGGCCGATGGCTACTGCTGCTCCTCGGGAGCACAATGCCCCTGGGGTGCTCAGGGTCACCGCAGCGTCTCCTTAGGAGACAGTGGCTGCCTGGCGCTACCGCGCGTGGACCCGACTTCTGCTCCGGGCACTTGGGCATTTCCCCTGCGCAGGTACATGTCCTCCGGAGGGCCAGCCTGAGGCTTGGAGGCCAGGCCATCTGGCGTGGAGAAGGAAGTGGGAGCTCGGGGCCTGCAGAGCTGGGGCTGAATTTCCACTGTCCCCCACCGGCCCAGGGACCTTCTGCTAGCTAGTGACACTCCATGCACCTCAACTTCCTCCTCTGAAGATGAGGTGACAAGGGCTGCTTCGTGGGAGCTGATGAGGCAGGGTGCTGTGGTCACTACGTGACGGTCACAGCTTGTGGTGGCCAAGTGCTTTCATGCACGTTATTCCTCTGAACAATAAAAGCTCTGAGGCGGAGTGTGGCTTTATCAAACGCCTCGGCTTCGGGATCCCCAACCCTTTCCCATGCTTCTCAACCAGGCAAAAGGAAGTCCTGAAAATAGAGTAATATTTGGTTGAATTCTGAAAGAATCCTCTAGGTAATTCTGTAAATGCTTCGATTTCTTTGAATAGTAAATCACTACTGATATTATAGAACTTCTAGATCCTAAATGGTTGTTATTTCTTGGTCAGCACCAGTTCTGCAAAGACTGCCCTTGGCCCAAGAGTTCTTCCTAAACTACCTCAGAAAGGTAAGGCTTCTCTCTCTTTTCTATGTTCACATGAAATTGAAGTGTCCCTGCACCTTCCCAAGGGACAGAGGTCTCATCTCTTGTTCATTGATCTGTCCAAAATGCCTAGAGCAATACCTTGCACATAGGAGGTGCCCAGTAAATACTTGTTTTTAAAAAGGTTATAAATTTATTTATAAATTCAAAATCTGTGACTAGCAAAACATTGTAGTTTTTCATTTTAAAAAAAATACCTTTCCAGAAGACACTGTCGTGATCTCCAAGTCTCTCCCCTCTGGGACACTTGAGCAGACAGACTGGGGAGTAGTACTGGCTCTTCCACTTCCTGGCTGTGACCTCAGGCCAGTGACCTGGGGGACTCACGCACCTCAGCTCTAAAGTGGGGAATGATGCCTACTTCGTGGAGTTTATAGGACAGTGCAGTCATGCTCAGAGGGCCCCCAGCAGGTGGGTGGCAACAGGACCCCCCCAGGATGGCATCTGTCGTGCTGAAGAGAGGCACGAGCTCTGCACAGGACAGAAGGCAGGTCTGCCCATGCTGCTCTGCAGAGCAGAGTCACTCCACTCTGACCAGGTCTTCTTCAGTCCTAAACAGAGTTTTCGTCCATAACCAGAATTTCAGACTTCTTCTAGTGCAGCAGAAATGTGCAGAGCCAGCCTTGCCCTGAGACCTGCGGAGCCCATCAGACGTCTGCTTCCCTGTCCTGGGAGCCCAAGGCCAGCATCCGCATAGGTCCTGGCAGAGGCCCAGGGGAGCTGCTCTGGACTGCTGGTGCCTGGGGCCGACTTCTGACCCTGTCCCGGGTTCTGCAGCCTAGTTAGAGTAGGAGTCAGGGTAGAGGAGTTAGAATTTGCCACTCTCCCAAGTTCCTCAGTCTAGTGACCTTTTTTTTGGAAGGACATCAGCAGAAGGGGCGGCTCCCTGTCAGGAGGGGGCGTCTCAAGTGGCTGCTGACTCCTCATCCACGGAGCAGTAAGGGAGCTTTCCCAGAATTTGCTGAGTCTCTCTCTAGAGTTAGGTTTTATTGGTGACAGTGTTTATTTTTATCCTGGTCTCAAGAGCTTGAGCCGAGTTTGCTAGGCACTGTCCTCCTCCTTCAGGCTGCCCAGCTTCTGACCTGTGCCTCTCGCCTGTTACCCCTGCATCCCTCTCCCTGCCTCCCAGCAGATTTTTCCTGCACCCAGACCAAATGGCAACCTAGGCTGCTGCTGCCTTCTCCCCCTCCCCACCCCCCACCCCTCCACACCCCTCCACACCCCCCACCCCTCCACACCTCCCATTCCTCCTGTGCCGTTTTCTGCTCTCTCACTGCACCTGTCCTGACAGCTAGACCAGGAATAGGGTAACGTGGCCTCCCAGATACTTGTCACTCATCTCCAGCACTTCCCAGTTTATACCTGATCCCATTCTGTATATATCCCTATCCACTGGCCCCTAGTAGTTCTGCAGCAGACCCCAAACAGGTAATTTCATGCATATGCAATTCATCCTCACATATAAAAGGTTAAAAATTCCTCAGTATCATCAACTACACAATGTTCACATGTCCAATTAACTAACAAATTTTTTATGAATTATTTGAATAAGGATCAAGATGAAGTCTACACATTAGATTGATTGATCTGTCTTCTAAGTTTCTTAGACCAAAGTTTTCCCTCTTAGCCTATTTTGTTTCTGTAATAGAATACCTGGGGCTGGATACCTTTATAAAGAAAAAAAGGTTATTTGGGTCCGTAGTGCTGAAGGTGATGGTCTTCCTTCTGACAGAGTCCCAGGGTGATACAGGCTCACAGGTCTAGAGTCAGGAAGCAGGCTTGTGAGAGCAGGCATCACGTCCTCAGCGACCTCTTCATTAGGATTCGTCACAGGGGCTCCACCCTGATGCCTTTAACCCTGATCACCTCCTAGAGCCTCCATCTCCTCGCACCACAGTCAGGTGAAGTCCCCACCCTCTTAACATCTCCCAGTGGGAGTCACGTTTCAGCACAGAGAGCACCTGGGAATGCTCAGACCAAGATTTCTGTTTCCCAGCTCTGGAGCCTGAACAGAAACGATATTATCACTCTCACAGAAGACTCACCGCCTGCCAGGTCCCGTCAGTCAGTTCTTTGCACACATTAACTCTTGTCATCTCCATGAACCCTTGGAACTAGGGTTTTAGAGATGAAGACACTGAGGCACAGAGATTGGGTAATTCGCCCAAGGTCACACAGCTAGTTAGTGTTGAGCTCGACTTGAAGACGTATCTGAATGTGCTGCTCTGCAGAGCTGTGCGAGGCTGTGCGTGGCTCAGCAAGTTGTCCCCGCCGAGCCGAGCAGCATGTGCAGCTGGCGAGGGAACGCGGAGAAGCCCTTCCAGGTGCCTTGGGTGGGGAGACGGCTGCAGTGTTGGGATTGCGGTCCCCGATACCGTGTCAAATGACGTCCCCAGTGTACGTGTGCGCAGCGCAGGAGGAGGTCGGTGGGCAGAGGGACCTTTCTCCTCTTACCTATTGTGTGAATCATAGAAAAAAAATAGGAAGGAAATTATAACAGCCATAGAATTGACCGAATTCCCCTTCAAAATTACATCTGTGCCACCCGTAAAGGATTTTAATAGCACGGCAGGTACTCTTGCTCAAACAGTATATCGATAAAAGTCTCGTGTGTAGAAAATACACAGAAAAATCAGAAGGACGTGTATTAAAATGGCTGCCTGCAGAGGTAGGCTTATGGGGCAGTTTTCTTTTCACCTGTGCTTTCCAGTTTTCGGGGAATAGTATCCTCTTAAGGGGGTTTTAAAATTCTGAATTAAGGTGGCCCTGTTGTCCTGGCGTGATGGACTCTCCAGCTTCCTCCTCGCACCTGGCCAAGAACCGCAGCCCAGGCTTGGGCCTGTCCCCGGCTTGGTCCCCGCGAGTGCTCCCTGGAGGTGGCTCCTCTGAGGTGCTTGTGCCCAACGCTGATGACGCGATGCCTGGCCCCTCGGTTCTGTTCCTGACCTTGCTCTCTCTGATTGTTCCCCGCAGTGGCACTAAGGAAAACAGAAACGAGCCATCATCTCTCCCTAGACAAAGCCAACATCCCGCCTGAGATTTTTCAGAAATCTTCACAGTTGGCAGAATTGCCACAAAAACCACCACCTGGAGACCTGCCCCCAAAGCCCACGGAACTGGCCCCCAAGCCACAAATTGGAGATTTGCCACCTAAGCCTGGAGAACTGCCCCCCAAGCCCCAGCTGGGCGACCTGCCCCCCAAGCCCCAGCTCTCAGACTTACCTCCCAAACCGCACATGAAGGACCTGCCCCCCAAGCCCCAGCTGGGCGACCTGCTGGCAAAGTCTCAGACGAGTGACGTCTCGCCCAAGTCTCAGCAGCCCTCCGAGGTCACACAGAAGTCACACCCCGGGGATCTCTCCCCAAACATGCAGTCCAGAGACGCTGTCCCGAAGCAGGCATCTGAGGACTCCGGTGACCTCACGCCCACTCTGCCCGAGACGCCTGTACCCCTGCCCAGGAAGATCAACACGGTGGGTGCCCCCTGCGCTCAGGCCGCTCGCCCACTGCCCCTGCAGGGCGTCGGGACGGCTTGGCCCCATGCAGCAGGCTGCCCACCACGCCTCTGCCTGGCCCGGGGCAGGTGCTGGGGCGGAGGCAGCCTGGTGGTCAGAGGCAGGCTGTGCCACCTGCCTCACCTGCCACAGGACCTGGGGAAACTGCAGGGCGGTGGCAAGTTCCTCACCCTGAGGCTCTTCCCTCACATACAAAAGGGGGCCCATGGACACCCAGCTCACAGGGGGGTCAGCGGGTGAGCCTTGGGAGCCCTCGGGCCACACAGCACAAACCCGCTGCTCTCCCAGAACCCGAGGGCGGCACTGCTGCTTCTCCCCAGGATCACGGAGAGCAGTTTCCCTCTCGGGGTCCTGAGGAGTTCCTCAGCCTGTGCTGCCCACGCCTTCCTAGAGGGGAAGTCTCCACCCTTCCACGGGCGGGCTTGGAGGAAGTCTCGGCTTCTGCCGTTCTGTCAGAGCAACATTCCTCCTCTGTAGTGCATCATCTTTATCTTACCACAGCATGGCTTCCTCCACCATCTCTGTGGAAAGGTGATGCTCCAGGGAGATGTGCAGCACTCTGCCCTGCGCACAGCTACACCCCACAGCTTAGTTACTGTGGAAACCCAGAGTCCTCCCTCTGTGCAGATAGCCCCATCCGCTCGTTTTATTGTGAAACGTATTAGAGTAGAAGTGTATCCAGGGTTTACCTGTAACCCCAGCTACTCAGGAGGCTGAGGAAGGAGGATCACATGTTTGAGGCCAGTCTGGGCAGTCTAGTGAGATTCTGTCTCAAAAGAATAAAGGTCTGAGGATGTTGCTCAGTGGTACAGTGTCCCTGGGTTCAACCCCCAGTGCTACCAAAAAAAAAGTTTCACATGAGTACCAAAGGAAAGGTAAGAAAAATAAATCATCCTCCCGTGGATTTGAGACCAGCCTGGCAGGCATCATAGATGCTCTTCCTTGTCCTCGGGAGGACGCTACCCCTAGTCCAAAGCACTGCCGACGGCCTCACCAGCCTTTTGATTTGTGCAGTTCCAGTTGATGCTGGGAGCTTTGCGGTCGAGCCGTCTCATTTAATCCTTTCCATTATAAATGAGCACATCATGGGCCTTCTCGGTTGCTCCTCAGTTGCTTGCAGAGTCTGCTGCCACCACAGTTCTGCCAGGCTTCCCAGACCCCACCATGGCCCTAGCAGGGAGCTCCGGCCTGGCTCATGCAGGGCGGAGCGAGGAGGCAGAGAGGGGGAGTCACCAGACCCAAACACTTCAGAGAGACAGCTTGCTCGTTTTATTACTGATTATTTTACTAGCTGGGTGCTAAAAGTTTTCTTTAGAAGGTAAGGTCTCTGTTTTCGTCTTTCTGTTTACTAAGAACTGGAAGCCCAGCCAAGGAAAGCCTAAGTCAGAACTGGCCAGAAGTTAGAACGGTATTAGAGCAAGAATCCACCCGGCCAGGCTGATCCTGCCGGGGGTAGCCGGCAAGTCCTGACCTGCTGTTTTGCATGAGGGGACAGCGAAATTTGTTGATGCTGCACATTCAGTGTGCAGAAGCTGCACATTCTGCTTTACATCATGTTTCCTAAAACCATTTTTAGACTCCGCTGTCATTTCTGCAAGCTGCTGTTGCCAGTGGGGGAGGGCAGGGAAGTTTCGTGTGTTTTGGGGAAGTTGAATTTTGGTTCCTGCCCACATGGTGTGATTTCTAGTGAAAATAACTTGGCAGTGGCCAGTCCCTAACTGGGCACTAGCCTGCTCCTGATGGAGGAAGGGCCTGTCATTCCTCAAGAGCACACGGTGGTACGCTGGGCGCCTGGCAGACACTCCCCCCCCGTGCACACACCCTTGAGAAAATCAAGGCTCGGTGAGGTCCAGTTGCTTGCCCCACATCACCCATCTCCCAAAGAGCACCATGCTCTTCACCCCTGCAGCCTGTTCTTCCAGCTAAAACCCCGTTTCTGTGTTGAAGGGGAAGAATAAAGTGAGACGCGTGAAGACCATTTACGACTGCCAGGCAGACAACGACGACGAGCTCACCTTCATCGAGGGAGAAGTAATTATTGTCACAGGGGAAGAGGATCAGGAGTGGTGGGTATGTGCATTTGGTTCCTCCAGTCACCAACCACACCCTGGCAGGTGACATGTGGGGACCTGCAGACCCTGCAGTCAGTAAAGCATCCCTCATGCACAGAGAGCCTGCCAGCCGTGACAATGGCCCACGAGCCTTTTACACGTGATCCTTCCGCATGGTACCTTCCTTCAGAAATGGGTCAAGGAAATTAACACGTGGACGTGATTTCCCATGGTACCATAGAACCCACTGTGTGTTGTAGGCATCCTTAAATGTCCAGGTGCAGAGCCCAAGCTCAGGAGAGTCGGGCACATTGCCGAGGCCAGGCGGATGACACGCAGGCAGTCAGGTCTCCGAGTCGCTCCAGAGCTCGAAGCCTGGGCTTTGTTCCCCTTGCACGCTGTCCCCCAGCTGGGAGCCAGAAGGCGGAGGTGCAGGACATGCTCAGCTGTTTGTGGTGCTTGGCCCTCGGGCTCAGTCCTTAATCCAGTCTGGGGTTCCCAGTTTGTAAAGAGGACTTGCAGTAGCTTCATCACGTAATTCTAGAAAATAAAATGAAAATACCTGTGAAAACTCCCCTCACGTTAAGACCTGCCGCTCAGGTATGTGTAAGGGAAGGCACCCTTGTCCTCTCCACCCAGCTCTTTGGAGACCTGTAGGCACCGTCGCACTGGTCGCTTCTCGGGCTGATCAGAAAGTGTCTCCCCAGGACGACTGCCAGGCCAAGGTGCAGCAGACGGTCACCTCAAACTTTTCTGGTTGACAGTTTCCCACCTTCAGCATGGAAATCCTCCTCCTTTGGCAGCCTGAGTCCCCTCCTCCCAAGAGGGGCTCAGTTCTGTGGTTCACAGTTGGGCCAGCAAAACCTGTGGCTGCCCAGAACACCCCCTCACGTGTGTGCCTGGCCTGTGCAAGCCTGGTACATGCAAGTGTGCACTCTCACCTTGGCTTCTCCTCCCCTGGGCCTGTGGGCAGTGGTTTTGCTGGACTGGAACGATGGTTTTTACTGGGAGGTTTGCAAGATCTGGAGAAACCTTGACTGTCGGGACCTGGGAAAGATGCGTGCTGTGGGCATGTTGTGGGAAGAAGCCAGGGTGATGCCCACACCTTGCCATGCGCAGGGAGCCACGCAGCAGAGATGTCAGCACTGGGGTCAGGAAACCCTGGGCTGAGGGGGCAGGTGTCCTCTCCTGGGACAGGATGAGCTGGGGCAGGCCCAGGGCCTCCAGCCTCTGTTGGCAGAGGCAGGCCGGCCCCCAGCATGCAGCCTGGAGAGCCAGTGTGCACAAGGCCAAGGAGATGAACTCTGAGGTCTCCAGCGGGAGTCAGTCACCGTCTCTGTGGCCTTGGGGGAAGCATGTCCCTCCTATAAACCTATTTCCTCTGAAAACCAGGACCTGATTAATCCTCCCTCACAAGGATGTCACCAAACTCACTTTGCTGTAGTGTGATCAAGCAGCCATCATAGTCTTTGCTAAGGACGGGTGACTCCAGCAGAGACGAGTCTGCGATAGTGTGTTCAGCATTGTTCCTGGGAGAAGTTCTCTGGGCCAACAGCACATGTCCAGCCAGACATGAATGTCACCATGCATCCCCATAGTGACATGCCACCCACAGATCCCTCGTACTGCATGGTTTCAGCCGAGCGCTCGTGGCGTGGGTAGGCCACATCTTAACCATTGACTACATATCCAGGATAAGGGACCAGTAGTACCGATGGCCTCCACCGCCACGGGCCTGGTCAGTAAAGGAGCTGGTTATAGGCTAGACACAGCTCTTGGCTCCCACTCTCTGTGCAGTTGGTACTTCATGCAGAGAAAATGAGAGCTGGCCTGACTCATCCTGTCCCATGCTTCGAACCACCCTGCTGGGTGTATTTGCCATTTAAAGCCAGCGTGAGTGGTCTTGTTTTTCCTGCTATCGAGGTCTCCCGATGTGATTAACACTGACCTAATAGAGGTGACGAGAAGGTCTTTGCAGGCAGCCTGGCTTGCGGCCTTGTGTAGCAGTCAGTACGGTTGCCCTCAGCCTCAGACTCCTGCAATATCCTCCCCCAGAGTAGCCAGAGGATAAACGATGGGCACGTAGCAGCTTTTCCCATGTAGTTTGTCTTTTCTTTTTTAAAGTAATCACACAAGCCTGAGAAGGGCTTTTTCTGGTGCCCTTTTTCACAGTTGAGAGGCTTAGCAAGGTGTGTTTGACCCTCACCTCCTCCCCACCTGGAAAGCAGAAGCACCCGCTCAGAACATGGATCGTGAAGTCTGGGCTGGCGGGAGGCCTTGGGCAGGCTGTTCCACCTCTCTGGGAACTCCGTGGGGGCAGGCAGATGGTGCAGAAGTGCCCTTCTGTTGTTTCGTTGTATAGTTTCTGTGGTTCACAAAAGATAGGGAAATGTGTCTTGGTCCACCCCAGGGCTCTAGGTTCTGGAGCTGGGTTCTTACCCCCTGGACTTGTCCCAGGGCAGCTGCCTGCTGCCTCCAGCCTGACCACTGTCTTTTTCCTTTGCAGATTGGGCACATCGAAGGACAGCCTGAAAGGAAGGGGGTCTTTCCAGTGTCCTTTGTTCACATCCTGTCCGACTAGCAGAAAGCAGAACCTTATGGTTGTCTCCATCCTCCATGCCAGACTTCTGCTTCCATGCCACCCTGTGCACAGTGTGTGTATAGCTGCTGTTACAGAATAGGAAACTCCTCGAGGGCCGCCTCGGGAGGGGAACAGAGTATGTATTGTAAATATCCTGTGGTCTTCTGCCTTTGCCAGTATGAGGGTAGCCTCGGGGCCCGGTGCGCCTTGCTGGTTTGCCAAAGCCGTCCTTGGCACCTAGCACTTACATCTCTCTCTATCTGTGCTGTTTTACAAGCAAGCAAAAATTTAAAAATAAAAATAAAAAATAAACCAACTACAACAAAAAACCAGGAGTGTAGGAATTTCTGGCTTTGAAAGTAGAGTGATTTCTGTTCAGCAGCCATTGAAGGGCCTAGAGTCGACTCTGCTCCTTCCAGTGCAGTATTCTCAATCTTGTTACTGAAAATGCAGCATTAGCAAAGAGGTGGGTTCTGTTCTCCAGGTGAAACTTCTAGTTAGCTCCATGACAGACCAGCCTGTAGTTATCTGTGTACACAGTTTACAGCTACAAAAACCTACTTTGGTATTTATTACAGACAAGTGCTCAGTTAAATATGTTACTCCTTCAGCAAATGTTCACTGACCCAAAACTCTTCGTGGCATTTTACAATGCACACAGCCTCATGCAAGTTGAGACAAGTGGATTTATACTGTCTTATGATGATGAGTGCCCACCCTTGAGATATTACCTCATTATGCAAAAATAACATATCCTTCATGCCTATTTTGACAAAGTTTAAAATATGTCTGATGAAGTTTAACTTTCAGGAACCAAGGACTGCCAGAAAATATTAGCCTCTACATTATGCATGCATCTAGAAGCTTATACCTGAAATCTTGCCTTTTATAAAGGAATAAATAGTATGAATAAGTTGAACTGTACATTTTTTAAACTTGATTGCCATTAAAGCAGAAATTATAAGGTTGCAACTATATCTGTTTGTAGTCAGTCATTCAACTCTCTCAAAGAGTATGAATTTACATAATGTATTATGAATCAGCATCCCTCAATTGTGTTGAAGCATCTAAAGTGTTGGTTTTAAATTATTTTCTTAGTTTTGTTCTTGGATAAATTTACTTTTAAAAGACTATTCAAAATGGAGAATTTAAAAGTCAGCCCTTCACACAGTGTTTCCAGAGTAGGATCCAGGTGCTGAAACCAAGCTCTTCTGCTCTTCTTCATACATTAGTGTTCCCATCTGAAGCGCCAGCCACTAGACAGTTCCCTTTCAAGTCAATTCATAATCAAGTTTTGGAAGCTGCTATGAATTGCACTGTGAAAAAGCTCTCCCTGCAAGGAGTCTTGTCTGTTTCTCTGTCACTTGTGCTCTTTCTCTCTCTCTCTCGTTTTGTTTTCATCCCAGCCATGCTTATCAGACCATTAAGAACATTGTGTTTTGATCTTTGGCATCAGTCTGAATTTTGGACAAGAATACAGCAGTCATGTTCCACAACCAGTGGGACTGTCCTTGATTCTAAGGCTCGTGTCGTCCTGATGTTCCATTTGCTTAAACTGCTATTTTGGCAACAGCACAGAAGACTTAATATTTTTAAGCAGATAATCTTAGCCGTGAATGAGAAATGTTAATTTCACAGAAGCACAATTCCCAACCAAATCCATAGGAAAAACCCTCTTTCATAGTCACAGTGCTCAGTAAATATTTAGTTCTGCTTAAGTGGTTACTATGAAAACTTTGAGTAGCCACCTGAAGAATAAACCTTGCATGGCATACCTGAGAAATATTTTATCAGCTACTATTGGAAACTGATTTTAAGCAATTGCTTCCTCAGCATCAGGGCACACGTGCATTCCCGCACCTAACCCAGAATGTGAGGGAGGCACCAGGCCACGTGCTGATGTGTGACTGGCCGTGCCAGCAGCCTCAGCATTTAAGCCACACTGGTATCAGGACAGGAAGTCAGCATCTGAGGCTGCCCTGGGTCCCAGCTCATTCATTCACAATTTGAAGTTGCAGTAAAGAGCCGTTCTTCATTGTGGCCAGACTATTTGCAACTCATCTGAAAATAAACTAGTTATTTTAAATACACACACAAGCTCCGTCTCCAGAGTTATGTGGAGGCGATGTCTATTCTGTTTCCCCTATTGTAGAAACTCTCACAGATGCATTTTTCAGACCTTTTTTTTTTTTTTTCCCTCCTCCTCCTCTCTGGTTTTGTTTTGTTTTCCATGAGGAATTTTGAGTTCTCTCTCATCCAGCTTACTGGGGGACATAGGAAAACTAGATAGAAAAACCATTGGCAATCTTGTTGAGTTTAAATCTGATCTCATTCTTAAACTCAGTGAAGAGCCATGATCTGCCATTTTGTACATGATATAGTATTTTGAAGGAATGGGACCATCCCAAAAAAAAAAAAAAAAATAGCAAATTAGTTCTTTTTTTCCCCAGAGGAGAAAGTAATGTTCTGCAAGTAGTGTGTGTCTATTTGACTGTTGAACAGCAATTGCTATTTATTTTTGTATTGCCTAGATCTTCAACGTGTTGTATAGGAATCCCATAGTGCCACTAGTTAATTTCCAAATCCTCATCTGGATGTTACCATCAAACATCAGTACACTTTTCGTTTCACATGTATTTAATGTGACCGTTTTTCAGTACTGTATGTGTTAATTTCTACTTTTTTTAATATTTAAAATTGCTTTTAAATAAACATTCTCAGTTGACCCCAAACATCTGCAGTGAGACCATTTTGTGAGTTGTCCACTCCTTCCGACTGGAGAAGATCGGGACTTCATCGGCTTTACTCTGGAGGAGAGAATGATACTGGTCATCTTACCTCCTGGGAACAGTGTGTGGCATTGTGAACAGGACAGGAAGGAGAGGGGGGCCCCTTCGTGTCCCGGGTGACATGCTGATGCAGCCGCAGCTCTAGGTGCCCAGCGACGTGCCGCACAGTACCTCTGTCGGCACCTGTCACTCCTGGTGCTGCCCTGTGGTGGGGTGGAGCAGCTCAGGCCCAGGTGCTCTGCCTGCAGCGTCTGGCTAAGTCCCCAGGGAGCCCTTACAGGGGCACGGACCTCTCACTTCACAAGCTTGGAAACGAAACTCAGAGAGATTCGTGGCTCCAAAATCCCTGAGTCAGGAGTGCATACAAGTGGTTCTGGCTACCCTGGCAGAAATCTGAGCCATGGTAGACCATGGAAGATGTCTGCTACACGAAGTTCTATCCAGGGGGTGACCACAGCATCAAAGATTCTGAAGCGCTGGTCTCCACGTTCCTTCTCCTTCCTTCCTGACAGTTGGTCACCTCCGGTCTGTCCACACAGCTGGCATGGGAAGCCCAACACACCGTGTGGCTGGAGGAAGGGGCTTTGGCAGGGAAGCGGTGGATTTGCATCAGGCGATTTCTGGGAGACGCTGACACTGTTGGCCTGGATAAGTCGGGCAGAGCAGCAGCCCGTTTTCCATCTGGTTATAAAATGTCATTTCCCATTTGGTTCCCTGTGGTTTTAACCCTGCTACAGGGCCTATTTAAAACCAAGAACTCACCACCCGCTTAAGAGCAGCCCCTCTGGTGGCCCAATAGCTGTCTCATTTCTCCAGGGATCACAGAATTTGGAGGCTGGCTCTGGCCTCTGCACCTCGCTGGGTTGAGTGCCCACTGAACACAGGCCCGGGCCTCCTACACCTGTTCAGCTGTGAGGCAGGTGTCGTCTCGTTAGGCACATTTTCTGATGAAGTTTTCTGACCTGGAGCAGCTGGAGCGAACTGCTCGACACCACACGGGAAGTGGTGGGCAGCGGGCAAGCCCACGTCAAGGACAACTGCTCTCCCTCCCTCCCCGCCCCAGCCTTTCCCCTCTGTCCTGACCCTGTGCTCTCCTCCCTTTGCATATGTGTCAGTCTTCCTCACTCCCAGAGTCTGCATGCGTGGCTGGGGGGGGGGGGCTGGTGTGGATGACATTTGTTGGGATGGTTCAGCTTCTCCTTCGCTGCCCATTCCCCCTGTGTATCCATCTGTCCCAGATGCAAATCCCCATTTTGCAGCATGCAGAGTATTCAGAGCTAATGGCCTCGCTTCTCTAGCTGGTAAGCCGAGGCTGAGCCCAAACCAGCTCCCGGGGTTACAGACCAGGAGACACACTGGGCCTGGCCTCTGCAGCCAACTGCCTGGGATGGAGGCCAAGTCAACTAAATCATGTCACCTTCCTTCTCTGCATCCGAGGCTCATGTATCCCACACGCATCCCCTTTGTGGCCAGATGATGCCAGGCCAGTGGTTGCACAGACCAGCTCCACGTCCTCTTCTAGAAGCTCCAGGCTGAAAAGGGGATGGATAGGTGAAGATGACTGTGGGGCTCAGCTGGGGGATGGCCTGGATGGCGGTGCCTGTCCCCAAGGACCTGGAGAAGCTCTCACCAAGGCCAGTGAGTGAGAGGTGGCCCTCCTGAAACAGCTGGAGCAGGCAGGAAGAGGAGAACAGCAGGCTGGAGATGGGCAGAGCCACCTGCAGGGTCTTCCATCAGGGCTGGGCTGGAGAGCAGGGTCATCCCTACACCCAACCCTGACCTCCCATGGACCAGGGCCCAGTGCTAACAACGCCTGTGGGCTGGGCACTGTGTTGAGTGCTGGGTCACAGCTATTAGCGGGAGCTGTATTCTCCCCATGAACAGATGAGAAGACTGATGCTCAGGTTGATTTGTAACTTGCCAGAAGCCAACCTCACTCATGATTCAGGAACCCTGATTTGAACCCTAACACAGGGCCCAGTGCAGCTCCTGCCTGGGAGCCTTTGCTGGCCTGCTCCTCCCCTCTCCCAGCAGGTCGGCTGCCAGGAAAGTGCAAACCACAAAATGAAGTTTCCAATTCAGAGAAGTGCCAGCACTTGCCAGAAGAGCCCCATAGGAGGATTTCTTGGACTGCTGCTGCACACTTGGGAACCAGAGGTGGCTATCCTGGCGCACGTAGACTGCCGGGAGAAAACAGTGAGGGAGCGTGCGTATCTGTGAGCACAGCAGCCCACCGCAGACGCTGAAACACATAAGCTCCCAAAAACAGCAATTAGAGCTCAGATAAACACAGATGTTTTGCAAAAATCTTACCACACAGCAAATCCTAGCTGAGGCCAAAACCTTGACCTTCTGCTAAATCATCGGGACAGAAGCCTTATTCGGCTTCACACTCGAACAGGCAGAATGCAAACTTCACTGTGCAGTTCCAGGCAGATTGGAGAGCAAGACCCAGCAAGAAAACGGCACCCGGCATTCAGATTTGGGAAGCATCACAGTCCTGGGTCCTGTCCTGGAGATTCTACATCATGGGAGGGACCCAGGAGTCTGCATTTAACCACGTTCCCTAGTGATTTCCACACATTTGCCAAGAAAGCCAGGTCACTCCTGGAACACCACTCAGCTCCCGAAAATCTACTCTGTCACCAAAAAGGAGAATTATCCAGAATCCTGAACCTCCCTACAAACGCACCCTCTAATAGTGGGGAAACCTCTCATTGAGGGATCAGCACTTAGGAAACTCCAACCATCACTGTCTCGCCATAGTAAATGCCATGAAAAGGAAACAAACCTGGTTCCACACCGCCCTGGCCAGTTGCAAACAGACATGCGTAGCACATTGTTGGGCAGACAGTGCGTGTGGCTCGGGCGCTCTCAGCCCTGAGCTTCCTCCTACCATTACTCAGCTCAGGAGCTTAGAATTCAAATGTGCAACAGTGCTTGGAGCCTGTTCCTCTCTAATTCATGGGAGAACATTCTCCCAGATTCACCCACTGGTCTCCTAGGTCTAGTGGGAACCAGACGGAGGGCCTGGTGCCTCCTGTCACTTGCAGCACATCTGCCCACACGTAGAGCCTGGGCAACTTAGGGAGACCCTCTCATAAGAAAGAAAAACTCACAGGACTCCCCTGGCAGCTCTACCTCCGATTACTCGTCACTGGCTTGCCTTCCCAACAAGTTCCATGGCCTTGGCTTTATTTTCTCCCCAAAGCCTAGGAGGCCTATTCTGGTGGGCAACAGATATGCAGAGACCCGGCTAGCAAGGAGGGGACGTCAAAGGCAGTTGACTAGGAATCTGTCAACTATCACTGAGTATGACGATGCCCAGGACCTAGGATCCCTACATGGAAATGTGTACCTATGTCAGCTCAAAGACATGGACCTGTTTCCTAAAAAGCTATTTATAATAGGAAACACAGGAGATGGATGCATAAATGGGAAATGTTCACACATTGTATCCGAAACAAACTACAGCCTAATCACATGGACGAATCTCATGAATAACATTAATCACAAGAAGCCAGACTTGAAGGAATTCACCTTTTGATTCCACTTAATGTACACAAATTGGCCATCGATGTGGTTATCTTTGGGTAACCACTAGGAGGGGACCCTGGAGGAAGGGGGTTTCAGGGTACAGATACTATTCTGTTTCTCTGAAGATTGGTCACAAGGGTTTGTTCAATTTGAACATTCATTGACCTGTTCATTCTTGGCTTGTGCTTTTTTTATATGTGTGCTGTTATTCTCAGTGGTCTGCTGGTAAATATTTAAGCAGCTCTTAAAAAATTAAAGTTTAGAAGAAACCTTTGTTCCTAGAATTTGCCAGTTCCTGGGTGTCAATATTTCTACTGTAGCTGATTACAAACAGCTCCTGTTCACAGAGGAAATCTTCAGATAGCAAAGGATGGGGTGGTGAGAGCTGTAACCTGATCAGGCCATCCTGGTTTGAGTAGACTGGGAGGTAACTGGAAGCAGATGGGCCCTGGCTGGAGGAGGCTGGTCCTGGGGGCACCCTGGAAGGGTGCATCTGCCCTGCAGCTCCCCTCTCTTCTCTTTCTCCTCGCCTCCCTCCCTCCCTCCCTCTCCTTCTTTGCTGCCAAGAGGGGAACAACTTCCCTGTCCTGGCCCTTCCCTCACAATGTGCTGCCTCTCTTGGGCCTAGAGCAATGGAGTTGGTCATCCATGGACTGAGACCTCTGAAACTATGAGCCCCAAACAAACTTTTCCTCCTCTGAGTTGTTCTTATCAGGTGGTTTGGTCACAGCAACAAAAAGCCAACCAAGACAAACCCTTTCTCCAAAGTCATATTGTGGCAACTTCAGCAGATCACTGGTTATACCTTAAAAAACACTTTTAAAACAAGTCTGACCCAGCAATACCACTCCTCAGTATTTATTTAAAAGAATTAAAGGGAGCCTGCGATAGCAATGTCATGCATAGCTGTATTTACAGCAGCTCAATTCACAATAACCAAGTTATGGAACCAGCCTCAGTGCCCATCAACAGATGAGTGAACAAAGAAAATGTGATATATACACACAATGGAGTTTTATTCATCCATAAAAAAGAGCAAAATTATATCATTTGCAGGAAAATTAATGAACTTGAAAGAATTAGGTTAAGTGAAATAAGCCAAACTCAGAAAGTCAAGGGTCGTATATTTTTCTCTCATATGTGAAAGCTAGAGAGGAAAAGTGGTAAAAGGGGGTTGGATCTCAGGAAATTAGAAGGAAGACCAAAAGGGTAGAGGTAAGGGACCAGGGGAGGGAGGAAGGAAGGGACAGGGTAGGTGTTGGGGAATGAAATTGACCAAATTATGTTATGTGCATGTATGAAAATGAATCCTGCTGTTATGTATAACACACCAATGAAAAATAGTCTATTAAAATTTGAGGTGAGACTAGGGACTGAGTGGGGTAAGCCCTGTCTTGCTTGGTCCC